AATGAAAATTTGAGTACCTAATAAACTGCCTAAGCCTCGTATGATGATCTGTTCGTTCTTGTCTTTTTAGCCGCGAATGCAGTAGTTGAAGTAATAGTTAAGTAAAACGTTCGTGGGTGTTAATTGACGTTTTATATCCCGTACCTTCCTACTGAGACCGTGGGGACTGGGGACGGAGCCGTAACAATAGTTGTCACTGACCTAGGCATAGCGAGGTAATTAATAATCATCATTGTGAATAATTACCAATGTGGCGCCTAACAGCTAACAAGGTAAGAATTGCTTTGCTATCCTAAAATCCGGTGCGAGCGACTTTAGCGAGTGTCATTTGAGCGAACGTCATTCGAGCGAACCATTTTCAGCGACTGGCAACTTAGCGAATATCAAATTGAGCGATTATCAAATATAGCGATTATCAATTTAAGCGAAAGCTATGTTTCAGCGACATCTTTTTCGTCGACTACAGTTTGAGCGACTGTCATTTCAGCGAAACACTTCATCGTCCCGTAACGGTGTATTTTTTTTCTTTTGTGAGCGTTCGTACAACGAATGTTTCCGGAACTTTTCATGGTTATTCGGAACTGGATGCCGGATGTCACGTTCAAAGTTCAGACATTAAGCTCCAATTTGATGCCACATTTCTAAAAAATTACAGCGGTTCGATTTCACCCCCCCCCCCCCCCACACACACACACCTGCTGTTTGCCAATAATGATGACCAAACGTTTGTTCAGAGATTCATATTGCTTGTGCTGTTTTCCGCGAAATTCCCCCGCTTGAATTTGGATCAGTTCCCCATGTTGTAAAATTTGTTCTTGCCCCAAGCACCGTACGAATTTCCAGATATTTGGTGAGGGCCCTGAAACAAAGACTGGATCCCCCTGTGCCATCCCTCGAGTTTATTATTGGTCCTTGGCATTCCTTCCATCGTCCTATCTCTCACGTTCCACATTTCCAGATCAAAGTTGCAGAATGAGGCCAGATATTGTTGTGGTTTCCAAGCTTAGAAGAAAAGGCCGCGCGCAGCTTGAAGCATGACGCATACCAAGCGGGTATTCCAAGGGCAAGGATTCCCGCAAAGTAGCAAATGATTGACTTCCGTCGCGTTCGGTTTCGCTGTAACTGTGTTCGCTCAATTGGTCCCCATTGACCTCCATATATTCGCTCAATCTGGTTTCGCTGATTCTGGTCCTCGCTTATGTTGATAATCGCTGTGATTGAATTCGCCGACTTGACAATCGCTGAAAAAGTCAATCGCTTAAATTGATAATCGCTGAAAAGGCTTCGCTCAAATGTCATTCGCTGAAACGACGCTCGCTCAGGTGTCGCAGAACCCTAAAATCAAATTAACCAATACCTAGGACCCAACAAAAAAGTGACGCCCATGATTTCATTGCATTGACTTGTGACAATATTTGCATGCGCTGTAGGAAGGTGGTTGAAGCTACAGATCTCTTCAATTTATGGTACGAAATTTACGGTCATTTTCAGGGGACAGGCTAACCTTGCGAAATATTACATAAATCAAAAGAATACGCCACGTTTCGGTCGCCTCGTAGATCATTGATCCAAATGATACCTATGTCGTCCTTGAGCGCAGGGTCCGTTTTAGATTGGTCCGGTATTTCGGCGCCGCGCCGCGCCGTTCTGCGTCGTTCCGCCGGAAGTTCGTCACCGTCTGACCGGTGAACTATGGGCAGTTTGGCCGGCACGTGTGTGCGGGGATCCTCCTGTTCAATCTGCGTTGACCCTGACCCAGTGCGAGTGGACGATGTGGGAGGGTGTGTGCCCGATTGGCCCGCGGGTCTGTCAGTGGGGGGACAGCAGCCGTCCTAGACAGGTGGTCCGCAGTTACCGACACGGGACACCTCCTCGGACGGACACCAGCAGAGAGTGAGACCGATCGGAGACAGGCGTGCCCAAGGTGTCCGTCGTCTAACAACAGCTGCGGAATAAGACAGCATTTCAGGAACGGGATCGGACGGCAGGTGGAAAATGAACGCTGGTCACATCTTCATCGGATTCTAAGGCCAAGTAACTTCTATGCCTGCCGAAGATGCACTAAGCAAGTATGTGACGTGTAGGTATGTTGAGAATTCAATAATTACGATACCGATCTGATGGCATGCAAAACCCAAGTCGTCGATGATCTCGACTGGGACGGAGCGATTCACTGGTCACATCCGGGGGAAGATGTTCTGAGGTTTACGGATTGATTCCGTTCGCAAACAATGCCTGATCAGCCAATCACAAGGTCCGATGCCGCGGGAAACGTGGCGTCATTGATTCGATCCTCCTGTTCCTCCGCCATCGCTCCCACCTCCCTGCCGTCCTCGCGGCGCGTGTCCTCGCTGTCCACCCTGTCCTCCCTCCTCCCCCGGCGCCGCTCTTCCGGAGCCCCACGGCCCGGCTCCGCGCTGCAGGCCGGCTGCCAGGTGGCCAGTCTGCTGCTGCTGACCGCCTCCTGCCTGGCGCTGATCGGCTGCGCCTACCAGCTGTTCTACACGTCTGCCGAGCCGCTGCTGACGGCCGGCCTGCTGCTCAGCGCGCTGAACGTGGCGCAGCAGCTGCTGCTGGTGGTGGCCGTGGCGCGCGCCAGCTGCCGGCTGCTGCTGATCTGGAGCTGGGCGGCTGGCGCGCAGCTGGTGGCCGCTCCGGCCGCCCTGCTCGTCTGGGCGCTCTGGAGGTGCGCCGCCGGCGGCACCCTGCTGAGGATGGTGACTAGAGCGGCGGCCGCGCTGCCGGCAGCCGTGGTGCTCGCCGGAGCGGCTCTGATGGTGCGGAGACTGCGAGCGCAGCTGCAGAGCGAGGCGGGAGAACTGGAGCGGGACAGGGCCGCAGAGGACAGAGAGCAGGACAGCAGGGTCGGTGAAGGAGCAGCTGAAAGTGTGGATGGATCTGCTGAAGCAACGTCAAGGGAGATGTCACTCCATGCTGATGATGGGTCAACAGACTCACTAAACAACACACAGCACGGTCAAATCGCCCGAGAAAGACAGGCATCGAAGTCAGGTCCCGTTCAAAACAACAATCCGAAGCAAACGTCCAGACCAAGACAAGGAGACCGTTCAGAACAGCTGCCAAAGTCGAAGTGCTCAGCAAGAAAGGACAAACACAAGAAGGTCGTGACGAAGACTGCGCTCCCTCCGTTGAGGTCCCGCGATACGGAGATATCGGTGATCTTTCCTGATCAGTGGAGTGCCGATGGAGACTCTCCTCGCCACGCCGGCAGAACTGCGGCTCCAACGACCGACCCGCGCCGGCCCGATTCACTGCGCAGTCGCTGGGTGGCGACCGTTCTCAAACACTTCTGCCGCAGGTCGACCGGCTCTCTGAGGGCCACAGCGCCCCTGGTGACGTCAGCGGCTCAGCTGCCGCCGGTCCATGGAGAGGCCGGGAAACACGGATCGCGGGCTCAGAGGCTGACGCTGAGACGAAAGATGTCGATGCCGCAGGGAGTGGCTGCAAAACAGACCACATCCGCCGGTCATGGCATCCATGATTTGTCAGGGCACATGTCATCAGATACTTCGGGCATAACTTCGGCAAGATGTCCCGAACTTTACGTCAGTGGTAGCGAGCTCAGCACGAGACTCGTGGAGCGGCCTCCGGTGACGTGCTGGAGAGAGGACGGGGCATTTGAGGACCGCCGTCTGAGCAGAACGTCGTCTATCCGCCGCCTGAGCAGAGCCTCTTCAGTCGATACGGCGGCCGCGCTGCAGCGGCTGACGCAAATGGTGCTCTTGAAGAAGCCGCGGCCGGAGCACCGGGTGGCCTCTCTAGATGCAGACCAGGGGGCGTCGAAGTCTAGTAGGAAAATCTGGAAATCCCCGGCGTGACGTCACGTCGGGGATGACCGACGGCACCTTGCACTGAAAGATACGGCAGAACGGTTATTTGTGAAAAATGATTAAAAATACTTTTGTGCTGTTATGACACATAAAACACTGATCAGCATGTTCCTCATCATGTGATAAAGGCAAATCCGTGGTCGAAAATAGCCGAGACCCTCCCAATTTCCAACCATCGACCTGATAAGCAAAGGATGTAAGCGTAACCCTTAAGGGCGACTTTCCGTTACATATCTGTACATATGCAGCCTTATGGAAATCGGTAGTTTGGCGATTGGCGACGCGCGCGACATCTGTGCTGCGACTGTAGCGACGCCTGGTGGCTGCTTTTCTGCTGTATGTAGGTATTGGGGTTTTGCCAGATGTGGTTCCTACTGCTACACCACTATGTTGACCCAATACTAGAAAAGTTATTTTGCTAGTAAAAGGCAAGCAAATTGAAAGTTGATTTATAAAATTGTTTATAAATGATTACAAGATAATAATAAACAATTTTTGATTGAGCAATTATTTAAATAACAAACCGTGAAACTATATTCTGGTAGGTTTAGTAGAAATAAGTCCGTGCAACCTTGTATTTAGGGCCTTGATGCAGACCATCGCTGAGAGGCAGCCGTGCCCCGTGGTAGGCTAAAACGCAGTTCACACTTGCCCGTAAGGTCTGCCGGTGACGGGCCCGACACCGTCAAAACGGCCGAAACCGACGGAGCGACGGCCGTCAGGTCGACGGGCATGTGTGAACCGGCAGCGTTTGACGGCCGGCAACAGCTGACTGCGCCGGCGCCGGACCTGACGGCCGTCGCTTTGGAAAGTTCAGCAATGTTCAACTTTTGACGGTGACGGGCCCGTCGGTTTGAATGTCTGCGTGTTGGAGGAAGAGGAAAAGGAACGTTATCATGCAGCATGAAGCTCAAATGCATTTTTAAGATAGTTTATATCATTTTCTATCCATTTGTTGAGATGAAAGTGTTTATTACGGCACGATATCTTGAGATTCGATCCCTGATTTAAGTCAGCGAACCGATGTGTCTTTCATTAAAATAAAATTGCAGCATTATTTGACATAAAAATGTAAAAGCGTGGTATTTTATTTCTGTAATTCAAAGAATATTTTTAACTTCTCGGCCTTTACCCTCCCCCATCCCCTTCCCCCATCTGCGTCCATCTCGAAAATAGTGCGCCATTTCTGTCACAACATATGGCAGCCAATGGGAGCTACCAAATCTCAACTTTCGTTTGACGGGCTGCAGGCCGTCAGGTCGACGGTGACGGGCCCGACACCGACAGACTGACGGTCATGTGTGAACTGCGTTTAAGGCTCATGGGTTATGAACCGTTTTGATTTTTACTTGAACAGCCCTAGATAAAAAACTGAATAGTGAATAAAAATCCCTGAGGATCAGGAACAAGGACTTTGAACAATTCACGGAATTTCCGAAAACCTTTCCTCATAGTTCTCTGCGTAAATTTATCGTATGTAAAACTTGCGAGATCTGATGACGTCACCACTGCCATTCATAATGAGCTAAATCGTCTAAAAAGACAAACCTTAAAAATTGGACCATATTGTTTTGTGTTGTATGTCCACGTCGGTGTATTTGCAATAAGATAATAAAGAAAATATGGGTGTGGAAGAGGAACCTATGCAAGTTGAAGATGCCGAAGATCTTGAGGAAAGTGATGAAGAGGAGGTGAAGACTGAAGAACCTCAGGTTTTCACGTTGAAAGGTGGGTCATGTTTGTCGCATGTGCGTGATTTTCGGCGCAACGTGCATTTATTGCTATTAATTGCCATGTTTTTCAAATATTTCCCCTTTTATCATTGTTTAAATGCAAATGTAACAACAGAGGAACGATTCCATTGCTAAGCACTGAAGAACTGTGAAACAAGTCAATTTTTGGGATTATCAGACGTCGGGGAACGGTCTCCAGCTGACGCTGGGTCAGTGAAGCACGTGTGCTGATCTGTGTTATATTTTCAGTTCTTAAGGTCATCAAGGAGGCCCAGGCCAAGCATGGGCTACGCCATGGTGACTACCAGCGCTACAGGTTGGTGGCTGACAGGCTTCCCCTCAATCATCGCCTGGGTAGGCGGAAGATGAATATAATTGATCAAAATCATAAACCAGTCAATGCGGATTTGAATCAACCACTAATTGTTTTTAGTGGAGTTTTATGATTCTCCTATAACTGGCAAATTTCTCATTCATTTATCTTTTCTTCTTGTCTTGCATCTAATTCTCTGCATTCCTGGACAGATATTGTGGTAATGTATCAAATTGGCTATATAGAGACAGCACTAGCAGTGCCCAGTTACACTCAAAGTGATTTGAAAGGAATCTGCCTCTTTCAATATTTTTTTGAATTGAGTACAGTTTGTAGCTTGGACTTAAAAAGGCACTATATATGAACTATCATGTTACTTCAAGGCCTAAGGCCAAATATTTTTTTTCTTTAAAGGTAGTGTGCCAGCTTTCCTGGACCGTATGGAGTTAATGGCCCAGATAAGGAGAACCGGATTTTTAGAACTTATCCATACCTTCAAAACTCATGGAAACGTCTTAAATTCTTCAAATTTTGAGTACCCCAGTGCGAAATTCGCCCCGACGGGTTGTCGGTGGTACCCCAACCACATTTCACACCACTATGAACAATAAATGCACACACTGAAATCGCTATTACCGATATGCTCATCCAATCAAGTTTCGATAAACCCGTTCATCATCATCTCCTGCGGTTTTGAACACGCCTGTTAGGTGGTGCGGTAGACCGCGCCCAAAGCCAGGGCCCCGGTAACGTGAGGTAGCCGAGTCAGGGCAGCGTGCGCTGACCCAAGCCGGGGCCGCGCGTCCTCCCGGTGTCATGTGATAGCCCGGGGCTGCCCGCGGGGATGCGGTAGACCGCGCCCAAAGCTGCAGCCCCGGCTTGGGTCAGCGCACGCTGCCCCGACTCGGCTACCTCACGTTACCGGGGCCCTGGCTTTGGGCGCGGCTTCTGCTCATACTTTGTGGTGCGGTGGTGGTGCGTCGGGCCGCGCGCTCTGACTTCGGCCAAGAAAAATGCGTCAGCTGATCATTGTCATTTCTGCCACTTGTGTGTGGTTAAATGGGGTCATAACTTAAGAGACGGCTTTTTCATATCAATTATTTTACATAAAATCATATTTCAAACCATAAATAATGTTCGACAGCCAAATAAAAGAAACAATACCAATATAGGCTTACAGTTTAAGGCTCGACATTGTGTTGTCTACGATTAGACAGCTGATAACTCATTCCCGTACGTCGTAACTCTATAATGACCTTTGCTTATTGTCACATGTGCGCCGCATTCGCGATTGTTGCCGACGCCTGTTTGCAGGTCAGCCCACTACAGTTGTTATACATATCGAAAAACAGATAAACTTTTAGGCGAAAAAGGCACTATTCCAGGCCCATTGTTTTTTGCGATATTAGGTAAAAACAGAAGCTTCTTATCCTAGGTAAGATAAAATGGGAAATCTTTCAAAGGTGGCACACTACCTTTAAAGCACAATATTTCTAACAACCTGTGAAACTCTGTTCAAATGAATATGCATCATGAATATGAACAGAACATCATGACCAAATCATTTGGGGCTGAAGGTGACCTTTGCTAATGTGTGTGTTTGTGGGAGGGGGAGGGGGGTCAACTTTGGCCACACTGACCTGTTCTTATGCCTCAATTTATCACCATATGCTAAATATTTACTTTTGACCCTAGGTCACTTAAGGCCAGGTCACTGGGTCAAGTTCAGTGACCATGCTTTCTGTGGTATTAGTGTTTTTCGCTCCTGACTTAGGCGCCGATTGGTATAAACAGTGTATAAATCGGGGGATTTTTTCGTGATAATTTTATTCTCGGTGACCTCCAGTGACCTCAGTGATGACCCGATCAACAACGACCTAAATAATTCTTAAAGATCTTATAGCGAGCCATCTATTGCTTTTTTCCGCGTCTTTCTAGCTTTCCTAGTCTCCGAGACAACCTGGCGTGGCCAAACATGCCCCCTACCCCCATCCCACCCCCACCACCACCACGGCGAAGTTGGCTGAGACCGCCACCCGGGCGCAGCTTAATTATTTTTGTTCAATATTTTTATCATCACAGTCAACAAAACAACTTAATTAAATCAAGTAATTTCACTTCGGAAGTTGTGTGCAAACTGATAATCGTTTTTTCACCTTTTGAACATACGTTTGATTTAAATTGTCTTAATAAAATGTTTTATGCAAGATGAATCATTTTGTTTAGGCTCAGTCTACTGCTTATTGCAAACATGGCCCTGTTTCACCGGTGATAGCAGCACGCTGCTTTTACACGTGTCAAATTGGGTTTCCATGGAAACATCAACAGGCCCATTGCTCCAACACTACCACAAGGGTGACGTCAGCTCGCGCAATTTGATAGCAGCGTGGTAGCAGCATCCCGTGAAACACCGCCCATATTGCAACGGAATCACTAGGTACTCACTACTCACTACTCACTTCTCAAAACACTCAAAGGAATTTGCCTATGATACTGTCTGAAGCATATTATGTGTCTTTGTTATTCAGCCTAATCATTTTGATGGATGCACTGCTTGTTTTTTGCTTTTTCCACTCTTTCACTTCCATTGAAATGGGAAGACTTGCTATTTAACCACCGTTTCGTATTGTAGACATGTGAGAGCTCAGATGCATGGCACCCGTTCGTTCCGCTGACGGTGAACGGCTGCTCTGCCACCAGGAGCTACTGCAGCCGCCGGATCCGCCGGCTGAGGAAGTACCTCCACTTCGTGCAGGGCAACAAGAAGAACTTCCGACGCAAGGATGTCACCGAGGACGTGCTCAAGGACGAGAAGTGAGTGCCGTTGTGACCGTAGCGGCGGCGGGAACTGCCTGAGAGGTACTGGTGGTTCGCCGGTTGATATCGGAGTTGGTGTGCGCAGGTTGTCGGAACTGACCGTCCCCTGAAGTCTGTTACAAGTTACAACATTCAAATACCCGCCGAGCTGACTCTTTATTTTCATCATTTTTCTTCATTCTTTTTCACATTCTTATTTCAACTGAAATGCTCTCATCTATAACATGCGTCTGATAATTTTGATATACGGAAACCGCTCATAGATTCAACCCTATAATCTGCGTAGCGAGACTCTTCATCTCTGCGCTGGACAATGGACATGCCCCAGTATTTGCTCCCTCTCCGATTGTGCCGATCGGGCGCCTTCTCTATGTCTAGATGTTTTTTTTTTTCCGGGTGACCGATATCTCTCGGGTACATGTATATTCCCCTGCTGACCGTACCCTGTACCCCCAGGTATCTGTACAAGTGTAGGTACAATGACTGTACCCCATCTCCATCTCTCAGGTACCTGTACATTCCGCTGATGATGGTACCCCCCCCCCCTCCCCCCAGGTACCTGTACATGCCCTGTCCCCCAGCTATCTGTACATTGACTACCCTGTACCCCCCCCCCCCCCCCCACAGATACCTGTACATTCCGCTGATACCTGTACATTCCGCCTATACAAGTGTACAATGACTGTACCCCATTCCCATCCCTCAGGTACCTGTACATTCCGCTGATGACTGTGGAGCGCGCCTGGAGTTACGCCATGCAGCTTAAACAGGAGGCCAACACGGAGCACCGCAAAAAGTACCACCTGGCCTCGCGGCTGCGCAAGGCCGCGCAGCAGGTCGAGCTCTTCCAGAAACTCACCGACGAGGTGAGCGTGGCGACGCGCGAGAGAGATGTGGGGGACGGGGAGGGTGGGACCGCCCTTATTGCTGGGGAGGGGTTCGGGGATGCGCCGGGTCGTAAAATGTCGTGCAAATTAAGTTTGTTGGAAGTTTGTACCTATTGTCATGCAAATTAAAATCAAATGGTCTGTGCTATAGGAATGCGAGAAAATAAAGTATGTCCATTTCAGTCTTACTTTATCAAAATGAGTCGTGTTTTGTGTTGCGCTCTCAGACCGTTAACCTTTTACCCCTTCTGAGACCCTTTCTGTTATCCCACTTTTGACCTGTGACTTCTGTCGACCTCTGACCCCTCCCAACCACCTTATGCGCTGTGACGCCCTTTGACCTCTGCTGACCTCTGACCTCCCTCTATCCGTCAGTCCGCGTGATATGAGGCCCTCTGACCTCTCTCCTCTCCGTCAGTCGGCGTGCTGTGACGCCCGGTGACGCGCTGTGACCTCTGACCTCCTTTGTCTCTCCACCAGTCCGCTCGCTGTGAGGCCCAGCTGACCTCTGACCCCCCTATATCCATCAGTCGGCGCGCTGTGACGCCCGATGACGCCCAGCTGACCTCTGAGTCTCTGACCTCCATGATTCTCTCTCCACCAGTCGGCTCGCTGTGACGCCCGCACCAAGCTGGAGGTACAGGCGTACGCGGCCGACATCCGCGGCACGCTGGCCTTCGAGCTGCGCCGCTGGAACGAGGCCATCGAGCACTACACCCAGGCCAGGTCAGAGAAACACTACTCAGTACGCACTACATAACACACAGAACGAGGCCATCGAGCACTACACCCAGGCCAGGTCAGAGAAACACTACTCAGTACGCACTACATAACACACAGAACGAGGCCATCGAGCACTACACCCAGGCCAGGTCAGAGAAACACTACTCAGTACGCACTACATAACACACAGAACGAGGCCATCGAGCACTACACCCAGGCCAGGTCAGAGAAACACTACTCAGTACGCACTACATAACACACAGAACGAGGCCATCGAGCACTACACCCAGGCCAGGTCAGAGAAACACTACTCAGTACGCACTACATAACACACAGAACGAGGCAATCGAGCACTACACGCAGGCCAGGTTAGAGAAACACTACTCAGTACACACTGCATAACACACAGAACGAGGCCATCGAGCACTACACTACACCCAGGCCAGGTGAGAGAAATAATACACTAAGTACGCACTACATAACACACAGAACGAGGCCATCGAGCACTATACCCAGGCCAGGTTAGAGAAACTAGTCAATACGCATTACACAATAAACTATACCTACCTATAGAACATACACGAGGCCATCGAGCACTACATCCAGGCCAGGTGAGAGAAACAATACCCAGAATACACTGCATGACACACAGAACGAGGCCATCGAGCACTACACCCAGGCCAGGTGAGAGAAACAATACCCAGTGCACACTACATAACACACAGAACGAGGCCATCGAGCACTACACCCAGGCCAGGTGAGAGAAACTGTACTCAGTGCACACTACATAACACACAGAACGAGGCCATCGAGCACTACACCCAGGCCGGGTTAGAGAAGCGGTACACATTAGAGTATTTAATCTAATACAGGATATGATTGGACGAGACACAACCCATTATGCAATCAGGCTCGATGGGACAAACGCTACACCTCAGATACTAGAATGAGTTGGTGTGTATTGAACAGTATAACGGTCGAGACACGACTGAGCCTGATCCAGTCACTATCCCCGGCAGCCAGTGCCCCCATCACACTGACCTGACCTGACCCGGTCCGCGCCGCCAGGACCATCTACGAGAAGCTGGCGTCAGCGCTGAATGAGGAGGAGGCGGCCGTCTACAAGACGCGAGCCGAGGAGCTGGTACCCTCACTCAGGTACGTGTACCTATTTTCCAGGTCGGGCTGTAATCTGTCAGGTCCTTTCTGGGACCGACGGTGCCGTCACTAAAGACGTCTAGCTGTTAAGATTATCTCTTCTTATTCGATGATTGGCACTCGCATGCAAGTATCTCTCTGAAGTGCTTGCCGAGAAATGAAGGAAGGGATGTACAGGGTGATAAAAAAAAAAATAACGAAGTGAATACTTTCGGACTTTTAGACATTTTAAGTCACGGGTTGATCACCCTGTATAGTTGTAATATTACGTATTCAAGTCGAGTTCCTGTCATGCTCTATTCAGTGTTCTGTTCATGCATCTTGAACTCTTCAATGCTGTTTTCGGACAGGTTCTACGCCTACACTGTTGGAGATAACGTTTTGTGTTTGTGTTCGGATAGGTTCTGCGCCTAGCTATAGTGTCGGAGATAACGTTTTGTGTTTGTGTTCGGACAGGTTCTGCGCCTATAACAGTGTCGGAGATAACGTTTTGTGTTTGTATTCGGACAGGCTCTGCGCCTAGTTACAGTGTCGGAGATAACGTTTTTGTTTGTGTTCGGACAGGTTCTGAGCCTATAACAGTGTCGGAGATAACGTTTTGTGTTTGTGTTCGGACAGGTTCTGCGCCTAGTTACACTGTCGGAGATAACGTTTTGTGTTTGTGTTCGGACAGGTTCTGCGCCTACAGTGTCGGAGATAACGTTTTGTGTTTGTGTTCGGACAGGTTCTGCGCCTATAACAGTGTCGGAGATAACGTTTTGTGTTTGTGTTCGGACAGGTTCTGCGCCTACAGTGTCGGAGATAAGGCCGCCGGAGAAGACATCATGAAGATGCGACCCGGACACAACGACATGCTCGATGTACGCCGAGTGGTAGTATTTGGCTCCCTTCGGCTGAATCAGTGCCAATCAGTAACATAATTGGGAAGTTTTGAACGGCTTCATATTTTAACATGTTTGGTTACATAAATGTGTTAACCATTAGCAATGATTCACGATTATTGCTTTTTTACGATTATGCCATTTCATGCACCTAGTGATTATTACCCTTTTATATCCATCGTGAGTGTTTCGATCTCAACGTTCTCATATATTTCCGTATTGACATTTTTGCTCCGAGTCCTTCATCTCAACCTTTCGTTTCTCATCCCGCTCACCCTGCGCCTGGTGCCGTTTTTCAGACGCTGATTGCAGAGACGCGAGCTCGTCAGGCGGAGGCCCTGAGCGAGGTCACCTGGAGAGGGCGCACCGTCGGCGTACAGCACGAAAAGGTAGGGATATGTACACATATGGTCAGAGAGGGGGCCCTCAGCGAGGTCACCTGGAGAGGGCGCACCGTCGGCGTACAACACCAGAAGATAGGGATATGTACACATATGGTCAGAGAGGGGGGCCCTCAGTGAGGTCACCTGGAGAGGGCGCACCGTCGGCGTACAACACCAGAAGATAGGGATATGTACACATATGGTCAGAGAGGGGGGCCCTCAGTGAGGTCACCTGGAGAGGGCGTACCGTCGGCGTACAACACCAGAAGATAGGGATATGTACACATATGGTCAGAGAGGGGGGCCCTCAGTGAGGTCACCTGGAGGGGGCGTACCGTCGGCGTACTACACCAGAAGATAGGGATATGTACACATATGGTCAGAGAGGGGGCCCTCAGCGAGGTCACCTGGAGAGGGCGCACCGTCGGCGTACAACACCAGAAGATAGGGATATGTACACATATGGTCAGAGAGGGGGGCCCTCAGTGAGGTCACCTGGAGAGGGCGCACCGTCGGCGTACAACACCAGAAGATAGGGATATGTACACATATGGTCAGAGAGGGGGGCCCTCAGTGAGGTCACCTGGAGAGGGCGCACCGTCGGCGTACTACACCAGAAGATAGGGATATGTACACATATGGTCAGAGAGGGGGGCCCTCAGTGAGGTCACCTGGAGAGGGCGCACCGTCGGCGTACAACACCAGAAGATAGGGATATGTACACATATGGTCAGAGAGGGGGGCCCTCAGTGAGGTCACCTGGAGAGGGCGCACCGTCGGCGTACAACACCAGAAGATAGGGATATGTACACATATGGTCAGAGAGGGGGGCCCTCAGTGAGGTCACCTGGAGAGGGCGCACCGTCGGCGTACAACACCAGAAGATAGGGATATGTACACATATGGTCAGAGAGGGGGGCCCTCAGTGAGGTCACCTGGAGAGGGCGCACCGTCGGCGTACAACACCAGAAGATAGGGATATGTACACATATGGTCAGAGAGGGGGGCCCTCAGTGAGGTCACCTGGAGAGGGCGCACCGTCGGCGTACAACACCAGAAGATAGGGATATGTACACATATGGTCAGAGAGGGGGCCCTCAGTGAGGTCACCTGGAGGGGGCGTACCGTCGGCGTACTACACCAGAAGATAGGGATATGTACACATATGGTCAGAGAGGGGGGCCCTCAGTGAGGTCACCTGGAGAGGGCGCACCGTCGGCGTACAACACCAGAAGATAGGGATATGTACACATATGGTCAGAGAGGGGGGCCCTCAGTGAGGTCACCTGGAGAGGGCGCACCGTCGGCGTACAACACCAGAAGATAGGGATATGTACACATATGGTCAGAGAGGGGGGCCCTCAGTGAGGTCACCTGGAGAGGGCGCACCGTCGGCGTACAACACCAGAAGATAGGGATATGTACACATATGGTCAGAGAGGGGGGCCCTCAGTGAGGTCACCTGGAGAGGGCGCACCGTCGGCGTACAACACCAGAAGATAGGGATATGTACACATATGGTCAGAGAGGGGGGCCCTCAGTGAGGTCACCTGGAGAGGGCGCACCGTCGGCGTACAACACCAGAAGATAGGGATATGTACACATATGGTCAGAGAGGGGGGCCCTCAGTGAGGTCACCTGGAGAGGGCGCACCGTCGGCGTACAACACCAGAAGATAGGGATATGTACACATATGGTCAGAGAGGGGGGCCCTCAGTGAGGTCACCTGGAGGGGGCGTACCGTCGGCGTACTACACCAGAAGATAGGGATACTGGCTAAGTGTCGTTCCTGTCTCTGTGTCTCTGTCTCAGTGTTGAGGTCCCAGGTCCGTTCGTTCTACCTGCTTATTGTTCAGGAGCTCGATTCTTTTCATGACGTACCTATTCCCTGTTCTATATTCCAGGTGCGTTCGTTCCTGCTCAGCGTCTCAGTGTTTACTGTGTTCTATATTTCCAGGTGCGTTCGTTCCTGCTCAGCGTCTCAGTGTTTACTGTGTTCTATATTTCCAGGTGCGTTCGTTCCTGCTCAGCGTCTCAGTGTAACTGTGATCTATATTTCCAGGTGCGTTCGTTCCTGCTCAGTGTCCAGGAGTTTGAGTCCGTTAGTTTACCCTGCGCTGTCTCCGCTGTCTCTGTATCTCAGTGTTAATGTTTCCGTTGTTCCAGGTCCGTTCGTTCCTGCTCAGCGTCCAGGAGGCTCTCTATCTCTGTGTCAGTGTAACTGTGATCTATATTTCCAGGTGCGTTCGTTCCTGCTCAGCGTCTCTGTCTCTGTATCTCACTGTCTCTGTTTCCGCTGTGTCAGGTCCGTTCGTTCCTGTTCAGCGTCTCTGTCTCTGTACCTCAGTGTGTCCGTCCCCATTGTGTGTCAGGTCCGTTCGTTCCTGCTCAGCGTCTCAGTGTTTTCTGTTCTATATTTCCAGGTCCGTTCGTTCCTGCTCAGTGTGCAGGAGTTTGAGTCTGTTAGTTTACCCTCCGCTGTATATTTCCAGGTCCGTTCGTTCCTGCTCAGCGTCCAGGAGGCTCTCTATCTCTGTGTCAGTGTTTACTGTGATCTATATTTCCAGGTCCGTTCGTTCCTGCTCAGCGTTCAGGAGTTTGAGTCGGCCGTCCAGCAGGCCGAAGACAAGCTGGACCTGTACGAGACGCAGCTCATGGACTGCAAGGACGCCGTCAACGTGGTCAAGGAGGAGCTCAGGCAGGACCCAGTCAGTAATAGCGGGGGGGGGGGGCTAGGACCCGGTCAGTTATAGCGGGGGGCCTAGGACCCGGTCAGTTATAGCGGGGGGCCTAGGACCCGGTCAGTTATAGCGGGGGGCCTAGGACCCGGTCAGTTATAGCGGGGGGCCTAGGACCCGGTCAGTTATAGCGGGGGGGGGGGGGGGCCTAGGACCCGGTCAGTTATAGCGGGGGGGGGGGGGCTAGGACCCGGTCTGTTTCTGGGCGGTATCCATTTATATGCCTCCGGGGGACAATCGTTTGACTTGGATACTTTGTTGATTCGAGCTTACACGCTACTAATCTCACACACATGATGCCCACAATTTATTGGAATGTTACTCAATCAGAAGCAGCATACAGGGTATTGTTGCTCCTGTACCCGTACTGCTACTGACTCCCCGTAGTACCCCTCCCCTGTGACCGCACCTGATGTACCCCGTGTACTCTGCAGGCGTACAAGCAGTACCAGCCAGGCGGCGACGCGCCGGTCGGTCCCATGCACTACCTGCTGACCTACCTGAGCTTCATACGGCTCAACACGACCGTGCAGCGAAACCTCATCATCATCGAGAACACGGAGGCGAGGCGCAAGGAGAAGGCGAAGGTACGACGGGGAGAGGAAGGGGTGAAGAAGAGAGGAAGGGAGGGAATTGAGGTGCGCTCCAACGGATGGGACTAAGGTGTGCCGAATAGGGAAGGGTAAAATATGAAATGTCGCTAGTGATTTGCAGGAAAAGCCCTATGTGAAACAGAGAGAAGCCTGGAGAGGAGAGGACAGAAGTTTGAGACTGGATAGAAAAATCATGTTGCCTTGAGTGTAAAATAATGGAAGCTCTTATCACACACAGTTTCCAACTTACACACAATAACCGTGTATTGTCGTCGCATGCGCTGCGACCTTTCACGTACCCTGTGTGCAGCCTGTGACGTCAGTGTAATATTTCCCCCCTCTGTCAGGGAGTGGACGGCCGGCGGGCGCGGATCCAGGACGTGATTCGCCTGTACGAGATCATCCTGCAGAACCTACAGGAGATCCCGCAGCTGGCGGGACTCGAGGGAGACCTCGAGATGCGCAGCTCCGTGCAGGCCCAGATCAGCGCCTACAAGGGATTCAGGTGAGCTGGGACCTGGAAATCCGCTGCTCCATGTGTAGGGCGTAGGTCCAATCTGAACTCGAAACGGCTAGATGTTTATAGTCGTATTTTACAATCAGCTTGATTATTTAGAACATCATCTTCATCGCAACAAATATCATTTCAGGCTCTCACGTCATATCATTCAGGCTCACGGCTCTCAGTACGAGTATAAGACGTATTTGTAATGTGTATGAAAGTATCAGTAGCGCAGATTAATATGATCATTGAGTAGTGCACACGTGCTCAGTGCTCACGTCACCACGTGCCTCCGCGCCGCCACGTGCCGTCAGGTGTTTCTACGTGGCGGAGACGTACGCGGGTCATGAGAAGTGGCCGGAGGCGCTGGCGCTCTACTCGCGGGTGGAGAACTACTGCCAGAACTCGCTGCAGTCGGAGCTCGAGCCCGACCTCAAGGTACGCCTAGGCTGCTGGGTGTGGAGAGGTAGAAGGAAGGGAGGGATAGACTGGATAGATTAACACTGCTCACTACTGCCAGAGCGCACAGTCTGCAGTCCGAGCTGGAGCCCAACCTCGAGGTAAACGTCTGGAGTGAAAGTGAAGGGAGTCGGGCGGGTGTCGCTGTGTGTGTAACTGAAGGGGAGGATAGATAGGCAGCCGCTGGTGCGGTGTAGGTAAAATATGTTTGATGTATGGTAGAGGTAGGGAATTAGCGCCGCACAATGTAAATGATTCTAAAAACCCCAACTGCCGCGCGACCTCCTCTCATTTTTGACGTTATGTTCTGTGTGTAGAACTCCGGCCCTAGCCACGGGCCCTGACCCCTGACCGACCTCTGACCCCTATGAATCGGCTCCTCATGCTGACTGAGAGGGGTAAGTGACCCCTGATCTCACCCCCCCCCTCCCTGTCCTTTCCTTTCAGTCTCGAGTGGAGCGACTGCTCACTGAAGTAGAGGGTCGGAAGTACGCCGTTCACGCGCGCAGCATCCTGGCCACTGAGGACCTGGTGGAGAGGACCCAGCAGCTCAACGTCAGCGACCTCAAGGTACGGAGGGCGGGAGCCGCGGGCGTTCTCGGTCCAGAGGTTAGGCCGGGTGATCTCTCCGTGGGGAAATGTGGAGTTTTTGGACGGGTCTTGTTTGATGAAATATGCTTGTGCTTGACCCACAGCTTGAACTCAATGTTCGTTCGGGTGTTGTGACGTTTTTATGTCCACGCGTTGTCCAGCTGTGCCCATTGTCGTTCTTTTCTCCTGCACACTTTCCATTTATGTTTCGGTCCTCCTTCCGACCTGTTTCTCCTCCACGTTCTCCATCGTGAAGGATGGTCATTGGTCTGCTCACCCTAAGTTCTCCCTGTCCCTGTCCCTGTCGCTTTCTCTTTCTCTTTCTCTCTCCCTCTCGCACTCTCCCTCCCTCTCCCCCTCTCTCTCTCCCTCCCTCTCTCTCCCTCTCTCTCTTTCTTTATTTTTTCTATTTTCCTCTCCTCTCCTCTCCTCTCCTCTCTTCGCCCTCTTCGCCTCTCCTCACCTCTCCTCTCCTTGCCTCTCCTCTGCTCTCCGCCCTCCCTCGCCCTCTTCTGCCCTCCTCTCCTGGTCCTGCAGCCGCAGCTCTCTGCCCCGGCTCTGGGCGCTGCCGTCTCCTGCTCCTCATCCAGCTCCTCGTTTGACGTCGTGGAGCAGATCCAGCGCCCGCCGCTGGTAAACAAGGTAAGAATGAGTACGAGCCCTCGATGCTGGGAACAGTCCATCGCCGGCACATACGGTAAGATGCGAATCGTGCGACCTTAAACCCCGCAGCCCACTGTCTATGGACAAAGTGAGACGTCCCTCCTCTCAATCTTGATATATTCTCATCACGCGACCCTTCTAACGCTACATACAGCATGCATAATACGTTCATTATTCCACCCGATTGGCTCCCCGTCCAGTTCCATCTCGCTCTCAGTTTCGCTCGCACTGGCGCGACCTCTCGCTCGCATTCTGTTGTTGCGAGTGGCTTGCAAGTGGCGCTAGCCGTTGAATGCCGTCGAACCGCTCATGCGCAGTGCTGCCCTCTAACTAGCAAATGCTACAGTTTGCCGGTTGCCAGGCACCCCTCGCCCCCCCTCCCCGTCACAATGACTGGGGGAGGGGGTGACGATCGGATCCCGTGACTGGCGGCTGGTAACGTGACGCCCCGCGCCGTCTGGGTAACGTTACACCCCTGGCTTGTGTTCGGAGGGGGGGGGGGGGGTCTGTCACTGTGAGCAGAAACAAACAGGTATGAGCGACAGCAGCCGACGAGCAGACTGCTGGTGGGGTTTGGAAGAAAGCGGTTGGAATGGGCTGGGAGTGGCGTGAAGTAGACAGGGCCCAGATGTTCGTTTGACGAGCACCTTGCGCTGGCGTTTGATTGGTGCGCTGGCCCCGGCCCCTTTCTCCTTGAACATAATTCGCATCTAACCTGACCTTTCTGGCCTCTCTCGTCTAACTGATCTGATCTCTGGCACCCAGCTGCCCCTAAGGACGTTGCCGTCTTTCTGTCGGCTGATAAATGACGTCTCGGCTTTACGTTTTCCGAGAGCTCTGACCTGATATGTGTCATGGCATCAGTCTTGACTTGTCTCTTACTACTTCAGAGTTGGCCAGTGACCTGTCATCTACACTGACCTGTGGACTCGGACCCATGTTTCTGACCTGTGATATCCGACACTTATCGGATGTGTGCTCTCTATCCTAACCCCTCACCTGACCTTCGATCCTGGTGTGCGCGCCCTCTGACCTCTTCCCCCTAACATCTGCCCTCTCACCTCTGGCCTTTTTAATCTCCAATATTTCACCCGAACCTTGCATACCTCTTATCTGTCTTTTGACTTCCCTTCTGACCTTTCCGCACACTTGAGCTGACAGTGGATCTTACTTGCCCTCCGGTCTGTGAGATCTCTGACCTGACCTCTGACCGGCCTTGGCCCTGTTCTGACCCCGCAGCCGCTGTCGGATCGTCTGGACGAGTACGTGGACGCGCCGGAGGCGGCCGACAGGATCTGCCAGATGCCGCCCGCCATGCAGCCCGTCCCCTGCAAGCCGCTCTTCTTCGACCTGGCGCTGAACCACCTGCAGTTCCCGGACGTGAGCGGCGAGATGGGCGCGCGCGCCGCCGCCGCCGCCGCGCCCGCCGCCGCCGGACAGAAGGGCGCCCAGGCCGCCGCCCAGCCCGGAGGACTGACCGGCTTCGTCAAGGGCCTCTGGGGCTGGGGTGGGAAGTAGGCGGACAGCGGGGCCGAGAGGTGGACTGGTGGCGGGGTGAACGGAACAGAGAGTGGATGGGGTGGAAATGTGGACGGGAGCTGAGTGGTCGGGGTGGAAATGTGGAGAGCGGGTGTGGACGGACGCCGGAGGTGGGGTGGACAGGTTGGACTGGAAGTGGAGTGGTAGAGTGGACAGATTCCACGGGGATGTGGACAGGCGAGAGTGGACCGGGCACGGTGAAAATTGTGAGGCGGACACGGAAGATGAACCGGGTGTCTGGAGTGAAGTGGACCTGTGCTTACGCTGAGAGAGTGCAGTGCGTCTGTAACGGGGGCTACGGTGGGCGCCAAGCTGACGGGTCTTCGGACCATCTTGCCAGCCATGGTAGGGAGCTGTGCTACTGTGTGGATGATGACCTCTCCCGGCTATTCTGGGTTTGGGTTCACCCGGTTCCACCTCTCCCCAGCCGCGTTCCACGGGCCCCGTCCCCCTGTACCGGTGTATGGCCGCGTGCCGACCTCGAGGAGCACCGACTGCCAGGTTAGAGTGCGGTGGTTGGGGAATATATCTATATTCACACACTTGAAAGGCGTTTTAAATAGGCTGTTTCACGTGACGCTGACCGGAACTGTTTTCTGTTATTTGTGGTTTCTATCGGTTTGGGACGCTGAATAAATTATTGACACGCCTACCAGCGCCGCCGAATGAGTCGTTACCGCTAAAAGTCGTCGATACCTACTCAGTCATGCGGTAAATGATGGTGTTTGCAGCCGTGAATTGTGCCACGGATGGAAATGATACTTTGGTGAGACATACATATAGGACAGCGTATGTACAGCCCTCAGCAGACTGCGTGGTAGGTATTCTTTTTCCGACAAAACTGATAATAATTCAAAAGCCATGTTATCAGTCGGTCGAAACTCACTGCAAATAGATGCGCCATACTCCACTCCTTCGATTGGGCCTATCACTAAACAAAGTATACGCCTTGTGTGGCAACAAAATGTAAAAGTTCGTTTTGGGGGCAAATATAAACTTTTGGGTTTTGTTGCCAAACTGGATGGAAAATGAATACGGTGATGATGCCAATCTAAGCTGCGGAGTCTCGCGCATCTTGTTGTTACGATTTCCGAGTGGCCGATAGCATAGTATTCGCGTTATTCTCGGTTTTGTCGAAAAAAGAATACCTACCACGCAGTCTGCAGAGGGCTGTACAGCCCTCTGCAAACTGCGTGGTAGGGATTCTTTCTTCGACAAAACCGATAATAACGCGGATACTATGCTATCGGTCGCTCGGAAATCATAACAGCAAGATGCGCGAGACTCCGCACCTTAGATTGGCATTACCATCGCATTCATTTTCCATCCAGTTTGGCAACAAAACCCAAAAGTTTATATTTGCCCCCAAAACAAACTTTTGCATTTTGTTGCCACACAAGACATATACTTTGTTTAGTGATATACCCAATCGAAGGAGTAGAGCATGGCGCCTCTATTTTCAGTGAGTTCCGACCGACTGACAACATAGTCTTTGAGTTATTACTGGTTTTGTCGAAAAAAATACCTACCACGCAGTCTGCTTAGGACTGTAGGTACTAGGTACTTCCCGAGATGAGACGACAGGCGAGACTGCAAGGTTGAAGAGCTCATCGAAAGCCCGATTGTCTGTTGTGAATTGAGAACTTGCGTTCTCCGATATCCATTTGCTTTTAGCAAAACTAATTTGAGATCACGGTTTATTCCGATAGGATATTGCTTGTCACCATCTCGAGTGTCTAAGCGTTTCGTTTTTCAATAGATGACACACCTGACAACGTAACGTAAAATTTGCATGCCTCGTTTTAGCGAGCATCAACAGCCGTCGATATCGACAACTTGTGTGCGACAAAACTGGCGCAGCTCTCAGCTGATGAATGTGGGTTGATAAGGGAGGCGGAGATCAGCAGATAAAATAAATCAACGTGGCTCCTCTGGAATATTTTTGTGGATTTTTACTTGTTCATCTTGTTACTTGTTCATTACTTGTTTTGCGCGCCCTAACTCTTCAACAACAACAACATACTTGTTCATCTGTGCATTCCTCAGGTATCTATCTATATATTCCTCATATGTTAAGTTATCTGGCCCCTGCAACTTAGCTTGGTTTCAGCAGCACTTCAACTTTGACTTTTTCCGGATTTGTGGTGAATAGGGTAGCCTGTGAATTTAGAATAAATGAGCTATTTCTCCTCCCATAATGTCTCATCTTGAGTTATCTACTGCTTAAAATGATAAATTCATCTAAAGTTATTTAATTTGCGAAGGTATCCTCCCATTGTCATGTCTAAAATTTATCATTCCAATTTTGGATTGTCTCGGTCTGGTCTGATCCGATGGTAGGACTAGGGACGTTGGTTTATGCTACAAGTTTTGCTTGGCACTATAGCTCTGGCTCTGCTCACCTGTCAATTCAAACATTGAAGTAGGATTGAAGTTATAATGAATTAAATGTAAATAAGTCACAAAAATGGGAAGTGTTTGTGTCTTCCAACAGAAACCAAAGAGAGGGTACCTAAGTCCCTGGTAGTGGTGTGTCATAAGCAGGGGGTGCGGAGCCGGCACATTTTTGCCCAGAGCCGGAGACAGAGCCGCCATGACATTTCACCCAGAGCTGGAGCCAGAGCTGGAGCTGGAGACAATTTTATTTCTACAAAGTCGGAGCTGGAGCCGATGCTGTCTGAAATTTCCACGGCTCCACATCCCTGGTCATAAGTGATTTGTTTTAAAAACAGGGCCTCGGTTAAACTGTTCATCAGGCATTGGATGTTGTGGGCAAGGTTTCAGTTCATCATGTTTTTAATTTTTATATTGCACAATTATGTGTGGAATTCTTACTTTATTGTAACATAGATTGCCTTTGTTTCAGTGATTGCTCATCTTCCTGTTCAAAATGATGGAAGGAGGAGCCTTTGGTGGTGCCAAGATGGGTGCAGCCTTTGACCCTATTGCCTTCATTCAAAGGCCACAGGTCATCTTAAGAGCACTTTGTTTGGTAAGTTAATGATGCTTGGTAAATTTGATATTATTAAACTTTAGAGCTTTTCCTTGCTCTTGTTTTTTTTTTTTTGCTGCCCTTGTTGCTGATCCCAGGTCAATTTTGCTGTGGATTGCATGCAAGGACATTTTCCTTGACTAATTGGAGATCTGTTCTGATAATTGGACTGTTGAATTGGCATTTCAACAGATTCAGTCATGGCTGTAGTGTATACAAATATATTTGTTTTATGAGATGAATACTTGTGAATGATAAGTTGGTGGTCATGAGCCCAGAGGCCAGAGCCCTATCACAAATTAGTCATTGTTGTTATTTGATTAAAGATTATGTGTTATTCCTGTCAATTTCCTCTGCATTTCAACCAAAACCTTTGCATGTGAACATTGCAGCTATTTTTAGTGACTCCTTGTGGCCTGCTGCCTCCACCCAGTCTGTTTATCACCTCTGACTATCTCTCGGCTCCTGTGTGCAGCTGTTCTCCATCATCATCTTCGGCTGCATCTCCTCGCAAGGCTGGTACGAGGATGACGATATGAAGCAGGTGTGCATGTACAACCAGAACAGTGGCGCCTGCAACTACGGGACCGGCATCGCCGTCATCGCCTTCCTCGCCTGCTTCGCCTTCATTGCCGGCGAGTTCTTCTTCAGCCGCATGTCGTCCGTCAAGACGCGCAAACACTACGTGCTGGCCGACCTCGGATTCTCCGGTGAGCGATTTCTGGGACAAGTGACGGGACGGTAGGGCTTTTGCCGGGCCGTGAGGTAAATGACGGCCGCCGTGGTGGTTTTCGGGCCGCTAGGGCGATTACCGGACCGCTTCGGCGATACAGGGTCGTAAGGACGATTACCGGGCCGCTAGGGCGGTTACCGGGCCGCTAGGACGATACTGGGTCGTAAGGACGATTACCGGGCCGCTAGGACGATACAGGGTCGTAAGAACGATTACCGGGCCGCTAGGACGATACTGGGTCGTAAGGACGATTACCGGGCCGCTAGGACGATACAGGGTCGTAAGAACGATTACCGGGCCGCTAGGACGATACAGGGTCGTAAGGACGATTACCGGGCCGCTAGGACGATACAGGGTCGTAAGGACGATTACTGGGCCGCTAGGACGATACAGGGTCGTAAGGACGATTACCGGGCCGCTAGGACGATACAGGATCGTAAGGACGATTACCGGGCCGCTAGGACGATACAGGGTCGTAAGGACGTTTACCGGGCCGCTAGGACGATTACCGGGCCGCTAGGATGATAACCGGGCCGCTAGGACGATACTGGGTCGTAAGGGCGATTACCGGGCCGCTAGAGCGGGAATCGAGACGTTAGGGTCATAACCGTGACGTTAGGGCCATTACCGGGCCGTTAGGGTGATAACTGGGCCGCTGCGCGGAACACCGGAACGTAAGGGCAAGTGGGGGCTTTTAAGGTGATAACGGGGCCATTAGGGCCGTTACTGAGTCTTGAGGGCATAACTGCTCCCTTCCCCGGTGGCTACCGGGGCGATTCCGGGGTCGCCACGACGAATAACGGGTCTTAAGGGAGATTACTGGGCTGTTAGGGCGATTACAGATCCACCCCAGTAACTGTTTATTTGTAGGAAAAATCTGCAGCACATTTGTAGGTTTAGCGTGAGACCGTTGTCGGCTGGTGGTGATGCCGACTTGCCCCAGCGTTCGGCACTCGGTAGTGCCTGTCTGTTCACAGGCAGGCTCCGAGCACTGAGCGTATTTATTCCAACCTCGGGGCCCACGACTTGCGCAGTGACTTACAATGACAGTGCACCCATATAAGGGTGGATCGCTGAGCGATTCTGGGAACTGTGCCGAACGCTTCGCAGGACCTCGTTCAAGTAATGGTCCGGATTGACGGCCGGTCGCGCTATCCTGATCGTGATCATACACGCTCATTGCCAGAACATCCTTGGCATGTCCCGCGACATCCCTTACGTATCCTCCCCCATGAGTCGACAAGGGGAGCCGTCAGAACACAGCTACCGTGAGAGGAAAGGACTGGACGTTCCGAGCTCCAACGGGGCTCTGTTTCTCGCCGGTGAGGCACACCATTGCCTGTTGCTACCAGGGCCAGATATTGGCGCTCGGTTTCCATGGAAATGTGAGCAAAATTGCCATTTTCGCTTACCGTTTCTATGGAAACTGAGCGCCAATGCTGTGTGACGGCATGCCGTGAAACAAGGCTCTTCACAGCACACAGTCCGTAGGTGAGGCTTAGTGCGTCATCGCTCCTCCCTCCGACCCGCGGTATCTGGCCGGATCTGTGGTCGGCGTTTCCGACTCGGCGCCGGGTTTCCATGCCCACAGCTGTCCCGATAGGTAGCCGCGCTGTTTGTATCGGGGTTTCTATACCCGCAGCTGTCCCGATAGGTAGCCATGCTGTTTGTATCGGCTCCCTAATTCCTGCCACCAGCACCAGGTGTAGACGGCGGCGTGTGGAGCAGGGCGGGGTTCGCTGCACTTTGACTTCTGAATTATTTCGACTGCCGGACGCTCCCCAATCAGACCGTTAAGGTCAGGGCACGCCCAATGAGCTCTGATTAGCGGGGAGGGGTCACCCGCCTCCGCAATGCGCGCTTCAGTTCGTGTCTAAAATTATTGAATCTGGCCATGCTATTAGTAACATGGACGGCTCTTTTCGAAGGTTTGCATTTATATGATAGAAATTGAATAAATATTTGCCTTAAAGGGACTATCCCACCTTTAACATGGGGTTTGAGTTGAGATAGCCAAGTTTGCGGCGAGGTTCAGAAACCACTATCTATCTAGGTTGCAACCCCCGCGGCCTCTTGGTGTTGAAGAAATTCGTTCCCTTCATTTGAAAATGGGCCTTGTACAAGGCCCTATCTTCAACATGGAGCGACCGTTAGTGTGACGTCACCTCGTTTAGTCATTCTGATTTAAATGGGTTTGTTCGTTGAAAAATCGCTTAAAACCTAGTCTGAACTTTGTTGTGGTGCCTACAGAGTAAAAAGAATCAGCTTTATGACAGTAATGTGGCCTGGGGAAGGAGTTAATTTTGGGCTGTGACGTCACATATTTGAAAGTTTGTGTTTGGAATATGGGAAGCCTAAGAAGTTTAATGAAAAATAAATGCCAGAACCGTGTTCCTGGTCATCCAATCTATAAAGTCGGGCACAATTTAACTGGTTTTAACAACATTTTAGAAGGTGGGATAGTCCCTTTAACGTCATATCATGCCTTAGCAAGGTTCCATAAAGCCTGTTTGTGTGCCCCTCATATCGTCCATCAATCGTGAAAGAATAGAACAATCGCCGTGCCCTCCTGCAGAAATGGCCGGTTAACGATCATTTCGCTATCGATCTCGGCCGCGTTATACTGCAGACCGAATTCCGGGCCATCTCTCTGACTGCTGCAGCGGCTGCTCCGTCAGTGAAGTGGGTACTGAGGACAAGAGCGGCCGGAGCGGGGGCGGCCGGCGTTACCACTGAAATACGACGCCAGTGTCCGATGGCAGTTCCCGGATCGAATAAAACAAACTCGCTGCCCGGTTACGGCTCATGCCACATTCATGCCGAAACTTCACATTGAAGTGCCATTACATTAATGAAGTACATCCTTACCGGTTGTTTTGGAGTTGCAATGGTCAGTGTTATTGACGCAAATGACCTTGTAGTCGACGCTACCGTGAGCCCCAATACATCATTCATTGGAACAAATTACGACGAAGGGAGGTTATCATTATTTATTTTGACTGCCCTTGATACACCGCATAGCTGAAGTAAGAACCCCAACTGGGTTGTGGATAGTATTTTGGCAATTGTGGCTAAAAGTATGAAATTACTATCGTCTATATTCTATAATTTCCGCCCAGGTAATTATCCGCCGTAGTGTCGAGCGTCACTGGTTGTGTCGGCGTCACTCAGCAGTCAGTGCTGTCGCTGCCCCGCTGTGCCGCGATTCAGTCCCGGCGCCGCCCGCTGCCCCGCTGTGCTGCGATTCAGTGCCGGCGCCGGCCGCTGCCCCGCCGGCCGCTGCCCCGCTGTGTCGCGACTCAGTCCCGGCGCCGGCCGCTGCCCCGCCGGCCGCTGCGCCCGCTGCTCAGCGCCGGTACCTGGCCCTCCGCCCGGTCACGTAGCGCGGGGTACTCAGTGGTCGCTCACGTCCCGCCGACCGCCGAAGCGCGGAAACGGGCCATTGATAGACTGCTCCGATCGGGACGCCGCCAGCGGGGAGGGGAGCGGTGGGCAGGAGGGGCGGCGCTGGTTTTAGACGGGAATAGGGGAGTAATATAGTGGGAGGATGGGCGATTCACGGGACTGACATGTGCTTATCAATGCTAAGGAACGTTAGACTGGAGGAAAGACGGTCTGGGAGCTGTTACAATAATCCTGTTTGGATAAGCCTTTATCGTTTCGGAAGCTAACTTGTAGAGGCTTTATTGAGGGTGATGGAGTAATTCGTGTTGTAACTATTTAGGGAGCGTTTATTTTAGGTCTGGCCGTTGACTCGCTAGGTCCGCGCGGCTCACTGACGGAGGTCTCCGCTCCACCCGGCAGGATTCTGGACGTTCCTGTTCTTCGTGTCGTTCTGCTTCCTTACCAACTCCTGGAGCAACACGGAGGGCGTGCCGACAGCCAACGACAAGAACCCCGTCCAGGCCGCCATCGCCTTCACCTTCTTCTCCATCTTCACATGGGTCAGTCGCTAAATTCGCTTGGGTGTCAGCTGGACGCCTGGGTTAGTCGTATACTTTCCGTGTTGACCAGTCTCGGCTTCACCGCAGGGGGTCAGTCTGTCACCCAAGTCACCGGTGTCAATATGTGGCGGTGTCAGATTTTTGACACCGCGGCCAGTTTGCTGAATTCACGAGCGTGACATGGATCAGTCGCATCACCTCTCGCACCAGTTTGAGCCGGTCCAGGTTTGCTTTGGACACCGTCCCGGCGCGACCGTCGGGCCGGTGTGTGTCACCCTGTAATGTCTGTGTCCGAGTCCCCTAACCCACCTTCCTGCCCTTGTCTGTGAATGATATAGTACATGATCCGCCTGCTCTTCGCGGCAGACAGGCGGCAGGCGGAATGATATAGTACATGATCCGCCTGCTCTGCGCGGCAGACTGACCCTCGCAGAGCTGGACCCACTCTGAGGATATTTACCCTCTCATGAGACATCTCGTCTCCAACGCCCCCAGTCTGTCTGCCCCCCCCCCATCGGTGCCTCTGGACTGTAACCTTCCTGAATATCCTTTAAGCCTCTCTCCATCTATTCGCAATACGCACACACAGTACAGAATCCATCACTCCCCTACATATCTCCGAGCCGCACCTGTCTGCGTCTGACCTGAACACCCGCTCCCGCTCCCACAGGGCGCGCCTGGCCTACCTGTCTCCGTCTGACCCTCCCCTCGGCTGTCCACGGGGCGCCCTAACTGTCTGTCTGTCTGTCTGACCCTCCCCTCGGCTGTCCACAGGGCGCCCTACTTGGCCTACCTGTCTGTCTGACCCTCCCCTCGGCTGTCCACAGGGCGCCCTACCTGGCCTACCTGTCTCCGTCTGATCCTCCCCTCGGCTGTCCACAGGGCGCCCTACCTGGCCTACCTGTCTGTCTGACCCTCCCCTCGGCTGTCCACAGGGCGCGCTGGCCTGGCCTACCTGTCTCCGTCTAACCCTCCCCTCGGCTGTCCACAGGGCGCCCTACCTGGCCTACCTGTCTCCGTCTGACCCTCCCCTCGGCTGTCCACAGGGCGCCCTACCTGGCCTACCTGTCTCCGTCTGACCCTCCCCTCGGCTGTCTACAGGGCGCACTGACCTACCTGTCTCCGTCTGACCCTCCCCTCGGCTGTCCACAGGGCGCCCTACCCGGCCTACCTGTCTGTCTGACCCTCCCCTCGGCTGTCCACAGGGCGCGCTGGCCTATCTGGCCTACCTGCGCTTCAAGCAGGGCACGGGTAACGAGTTCGCCACGGGCTACGATCAGCAGGAGGGCGGTGTGCCGGGCGGCGCCGGGTACGCCGGCTACCCGGGCGCCATGGACGGCTCTGCCGACCAATCCGGCTACCAGGAGCCACCCTTCTCGCAGCCCCAGGACCCCGCCGGTGAGTGATCCAGAACCGGCCGGTAACCTCCAGTGAGTGTCCCAGGACCCCGCCGGTGAGTGACGGGTGCCCGACCCTCGGCCGGTGAATGTCCAGACACAACCGTTGAGTGACGAGCGTCCCACCCGGCCGATGAGTGCCCCACCCTTAGGCTGGTGAGTATCTGAGGATCCGCCGAGACACGAGACAGGTTAATCGTCGGGTGGGATTGCAAATGCTCTCCTTGAATGATAGACATACTAGCATCTGTATTTCGCCCGCCTGATCCGAGATTGGATCAGGATTTAGTTTGGAATCCTGAGGGGTAATTGACCTGACAGAGAGTGCTCGAAATAGAGAGGATGTGCAGCTGTCACAATTGACGTTTACCGTGCTTTTGTTTGTTGTTACGTGTCATCTGTCGTATTATTCGCTAGCCTGCTAAGTTCTGTGTCGATCACAAATATGCTCTGTTTCCGTCACTCGCTCACCAATGTTTGGTTCCGCCGCCAGGCACCGGTAACTTCCAGCCGCCGGCCTACTAGGCGCGGCGACTGAGTGGAGACGGCACTGGCGGTACTCGGCCCGCGGAGCCCGCGCTGCCGAGGTCTCCGGCTCGACTCTCCCGACCGGCGGGTATCCCCGCAGCGGCGGATCTCGGGTCTCGCCGCCGGCAGCATCGCGCACAGACGCCGGTGTCCTCCCCGTACCGGATCCGACCCGTACCGCTGGATCCGCCGGTATCCGGATCCGTAGGGCGGCATCCGGATCGCTCCGGGCTGCGGCAGTTGTTTTATCCAGATCGGCGTGTGTGTGATTATTTACATTCGACTATGTGATATCAGTTGGGCCGCGGCCGTCAGCGCAGTCCGCCGCCCCGGGGCATTGCCGTATCAATATTCATGTTATCCGCCTCCCTAACTCTGTTCAGTTGTACTCTCAGTTCTCCTCATTTGTTTATCCCGCGCCCCCGAGCGCCCGGCCGTCTGGTCTGAGTGCTGGGTTGTTTTCTCGGTTGTTTGGGCCAGCATTAAATGTTTACGGGACTGCATGCGTCCCGGAGCTCCTAGTCAACGGCAAGTAATAAGTAGAATAGCTCATTGAATAAGACAGCTAGTCGGTTACAGGCGCTCGCTGGCGCGGCCGGGCCGCCGCCGCGACGGCTTTGTGTAGCGGTAGTGGTGTCTTAGCGCGCTGTGTGGTGTGTGCCGTGTGGGTGTGGGTGTGTGCCGGCAGGTTATCCCCCGGTTATATGTAGTTACTGCCACCGCGTGACAGGTGACTGCCCGCCGCGCGGTACTGATTAAATCACCTATTTATTTAGGTATTCCGAGCTGATTAACCGGGGAGGGTTACCGTGTATCACAGTAGGCGCGGCGTGGGTTGGGTTGTAATCCAGCGAGTCCTACTATCAGTTATCTCTCGGCTGTTGGTTGGTTGTCGGTTTGACTGCGGCGCTCGGTTTTCACCAGTGAATGGATCGGACACCTGTCTGGCCAGCTGTCCCAGCTGGGCGCTCTCCCACTCTCTCCTCTCCTCCGCTCTCTCTCCGGCGCCTCAGCCGCTCTACAACTGTGGGAGATTGCCGCGGCAAGTAGAGGCTCTGTGTCGCTGGCGTACTGAGGGTGGCTGCTTACTAAGCCTGGATCGTGACGTGTAGCTGTTAGCTATGTCCTAGTCTCCCCTCCCCCCCCCCTCTCTCTCTCTCTCTCTCTCTCCGTGTTAGCTTTTGCAGAGTTCCTCCGTCGCCGTATCTCTCCCTGTGCTGGTGTGGGGGTTCATAATACCGTATCACTCCCGTTTGTCTGTCTGTCTGTGTGTTTACCTGTTGCTATTGTGAGAGCGCTAGTGCGGCCGTCGGCCATGCTGTGTATCTGTGTAGCACGCTTCTGCGTATCCATACATCTCTGTCGGCGTCTGACAGCTGTCACCGTGACAGCTTCTGTCTGTCACCGGGCCGGAGCTCAGCTGACGCGCCTCGTCCGAGGCCCGCGGAGGGCCCTGAACACCCATACGAGACCCATGTTGGACCCGCCGGGCCCGGTCAGCCTGTAGTGAGACGGAGCGACGCTAGCGCCGCCCCTCGCCAGAAAGCAGAAATACAGTGTTGTTGTCGGAACGGCTGTTTACAGACAATAGATATGGAATCCAGCTATCAATGGGCAGCGAACTACGGAGCTGACCATAACTCTGCATATTGTGAACTCGTCCGTCCCGTGGCTCAGTTTGTAGACATCTGAGGAGCTGAGGTCTGAGGACAGCTGAGGGACCGATCATTGATCAGCTGGGGGAGGAGGGAGGCTGGGCTTGAGTCGCTCCGGTCGCTGGCCAACCGAAGGCACCTGACGGCTGACGTACACGGAATGAATGCATTCACGATCGATGGCTGGACTTGTGGGGTCTATAGCTTGGTGTGGGGTCATTTGGCAACATTTGGCTTCTAGCAAATTCTCCCGACAACCTGAATGTTCCAGATGGGAGGATTTGCTCGCAATAACGTAGCCACCGCCTGAGGTGCCATTACGTAAGACGAAAACAGCAGTTGCGTCCAGAGTATATAGAACACCGTTGCGTCACACGGGGCTGGGGCGCTTGATTAGAAGAGGAACGCTGCCAGTTTCAACATGGATGCGCCCACGGAAGAACGTGAACACTTCGGTGCTTTCCCTAGAAAACCATGTAGAACCTGTACGGACTTTAAAACATGGATGAAAATGAGTGGACCAAAACAACCAGGAAAAGAAGATCAGGTCAGTATGTCTTTTTTATTGCTAAATTCATCCTGTTTGTTCAAGAAGTGAAACTTAGATCCAGTGTTCTCATAGTTGTGGTGTCAAAAGGATAAATAAAGAGGAAATATTTCACATTTTATGATCCCTTATGTATCTGTGACATCAGAGACTAAATATGGTTATATATTGTAAATACTTTTTGCTACTTAGTGGTAGGTTGGCATGATCGGGGTTCACATCTTTCTAACCATGTCAATAGATGTTATGCAATATTTTGAGCAAAATGTCACTGGTTCCACAGGCTGGTACCTCACCAAAGAAGCCACCACAGTCAGCAAGTGTTTCCAAGGCAGAACACACCGCTGAAGGCCTGTCAGGCTGCCCTCTCGACAAGAATGAGCTTGGTCGGAACTCCTGGTCACTGCTGCACACCACAGCAGCTGTGTACCCAGACAAACCAAACCAGGGGCAGCAGGAGGACATGAAGCAGTTCATCAGCCTCTTCTCGCGGCTTTACCCCTGCACCTACTGTGCGGAGGACTTCCAGAAAGAGTGAGTCATTAGCGTTCACATTTGGAAAGCTGTTGACTGACTTTTCAAGCCACAATGTAATGTATAACCACAATAATCTTGACGGAAGTCACATTAGCTTGCATGAACTTTCGAATATGCTACTTTTGAAGTTCAGAGATAAAAATAGTTTCCTCAAGAGTTTCCTATGTGAATGCCAAGGCTCTCAGACCTCATGAATTGACAAAGCTTCCATTGTTTTCAGCATTGCGGAGCACCCTCCGAAGGTGGAGACCCGCTCAGCCCTGTCCCGGTGGTTCTGTGACCGCCACAACACCGTCAACAGGAAACTGGGGAAGCCCGAGTTCGACTGTGACCTTGTGGACGAGAGGTGAGCTCAGAGATCCGCAATATGATATCATCAGTTATATCGGTCCTGAAGCTCCGTTGAAAAAGCACTGGACTTGACTTGTCTCAATGAGAGTCGCGGTTCGAGTCGCTCTGGGGCTTGACGTATGAGACTCCCGACGGGGATGGCCTGAGGAGATGGTCTGCGGTTGTTAGGTCAGCTATGTGTAGCCACAATAAGCTGAAGTTAGTTAGGTGGGACGGGCCACGACCAGCTTTCATTGTTACACCAAACTGGGACCGGAACTCTCCTAATTCAATCCGATACTGACGGTACGGTGGGGGATCGGGCCTGCGTAACAAGCTCTGCTTAGCGTTGGCTCCGGCTCAATCAATCCGTGTGTTCGAGCAAAATTTGGAAAAAGTAGTCGGCGTCCTTCGTCCTTTCGGAGAGGATGCATTCAACGACAGAAACTCATTTGCGATAAAAGGTCATATTCTAAAAATGTTCAGTTTGCGTGCCTATCAGAATGGTTATTGTATTTGATCTAACAGCGGCTGTTTCATTTCCTGTTACAGGTGGAGGGATGGATGGAAGGATGGGAGCTGCGGATAGCGGACCCTGCCTGGACGTGTGCGATAGCCTTTGTTATGATGTTTTTAGTCAATTTTGTGCCTACTCGATCAGTGTGCGGGATTGCCATGTGATGTGTAACAAAGGGGCGTGCAACATTGCCAATAACAAATGATTGTTCCCGCAGATCGCTGCAAGTTCGGCAACCTTGCATTGCAGAGATGTTTTATTCCATTCTCTGTCCTGCAACATGTGTTTTGGAGTATAGATTTTGGCCATGATAATTTTACCAGCCAGTATTTTGTAAGACCGCTATTAACCAGTTCAGGGATGTTGTATCAATGCCTATATCCCTGAGCGGGATGTGTTCGATACATTGTTATTGCTGTCTTTGGGTATTTTGTCCAAACTTGGGGTCCGATGTGCCTGTGATTCAGCCTCGCGATGGACATCGCTCTTGTGGCGAGGTGTTTATGAAACTATGTGACGCAATAATAACGGTGCCGTATGTGGACAATCGTTTCCGCGCTGATGGTAATTATATAAACGGATCCGGCCTGATCGATCGTGTAGAGATCACCACCGTGCAACGGTCAGTTTCCCGCACTTCCCACAATAAGTCTATCACCTCTCGCTGTGTCAAACGGTACCTTTATTGGGGCCACGCATCCGGCATCAATGCGCTAGAAAACAATGCGCACGGCACAACAATATCCGATGTACGACGCATAAAGACGCAAGAACGAATGACACCGTTCGGAGCACGGAAAGGTCCGAGACCGTATACCAGAACGACAGGTGTGGCACACGGTGTGCCGGTGGAAAGTGGCGCCCATGAACAGGACTGCGATCAACTGCAAGACCTCGACACCGGGTTATTGGCCTGAATCAACAGCAGTTGAAACGCCGGAACCTTACTCTCCATCGTACTTCACCACACGTCCCCGACCCCAACCCAACCAGTTCACTTCCCGCAATGCAAAACTCCGACGGGGTTGCCCAAAACAGAAGCGAACGCCACTTTCCTGAGCACATATACGTTAGGCTCGCTGGTTGTCACTGGTTGAGCGCCCTTCAAACACACCGGTCTGATTCCCGTTACCGACATCGCGAGGTCCGACCGTCTGAGCGGGTCAGAGACCACCCAGTTCCTTTCAGTCAGTTCCACCTCACACTACCACTTTCACACTGAAGTCCCGCCAGCGGCCCGTCCCCAGCATCGTCCGGTCCCACCTCCCCGGTCCGGGTCCGGCCCGGGTCCTGGCACATCACCGCTCCCCGTCCCGCCCGTCACCGGCCGTACTTGCCGGAGGCGCGCTGTTTGTGCCGCAGCTGCGCCAGCCCCCGGGACGAGGTGCGCGGCACGCGGCCGCTGTACAGCAGCCGCTCCCGCAGCCCCATCAGCTCGGGGTTCACCACCGCCGGCAGCTGCGAGGTCGGCAGCGCGGCCGCCTTGAACGTGGTGCTCTGCCCCTCGGCCAGCGGAATAAAGTCCAGCGCTCCGCTCACCGCCGGCGTCGGGTACTTGAAGCGCTTCTTCTTGGGTCTGGGCGCGCCGTCGGCGGGCCGCTGCCGGCCGCCGTCCCCGTCCCCTGTTACCTCCTCCGCCTCCTCGGCGGCCAGCTCGTCGGCCAGCTCGTCCATCAGCTCCTGCTCCATGCGGCGCTGCTTGTCGAGCTTCTGCTCGCGGTTGCGCTCCTGGCGGTCCCTGTCGCGCTGCCGGCGCGAGTCGTCCCGGCGCCGGCGGCTGTCGGCCAGGTCTCTGAGCAGCGCCTCCGCCTCCTGGCGCGCCGCCGACAGGCCCACAGACTCGGGCGCCTCGTCGTCGCTGCCGGCGAGCGTCGAGACGTCGTCCTCTGGGTCCGCGGCGGCCGGCGCCGGCTGGAAGGTCACCTCCTCATCACTGGACGGCCCCGAGTCGGCCGGCGGCGTGCCGGCGCGCCGGCGCGCCCGCGTCTGGCGACTCTCACGGGACGGCATGGCGGCGGGCTGCGGCGACCTGCCGAGCAGAGAGGCGGGGTTAGACTGGGCGAGAGGCGGGGTTAGACTGGGCGAAAGGCGGGGCACAGAGTCACGCTCACCATGATCTATCGGCATTTTATTTCAATATATTACTATTATTTAAAAAACACAATGAAATTCATTTGATCGATGTAAGAATGAATCGTAGTTTTCATAGATGATTCAATTTTTTTTAGTGGACTGGCCTAATAATATCAAATTCAATCATAAACTGATTGATGAACCACCTCGGCTATTGTAAGTTAGCTTTGACGCTCTGACCAGTGACCCTCCAAAATCATCACTGAATACTCAGTCGAATGAGTGACTTTCGAGTGCGGCCTCACGCTGATTGGGCGGTGAAATATCGATAGCTGTTTTTCGTTTAGAATGTTCACGGTCCTGACGGTGTTCGTCCAAGTGTCGCCACCTGATGTTGAAAGGCAGGAGCGCAACCCCTGGTAATATCCGGATAATGCCCCAATCCCCATCATACCCCAAAACACTAGGATAAATATTAGAGTGTATCGATTTGAGGGTTTTTATTCCAGATTGAGAGGAAACTGTCGGATAAAGTGGCGCTATATATTTGTGAGTAAGAAAAACACAAAATCAGTGTCCTGCAGTCAATTTTGTCTGGTCCGCGCCCACTTCTTTGAGACCATCTCGCCGTAACACGGGCTCCTATGGGAAAGCCAACTAGCGCCATCTAGAATTGTAGATGGCGCTAGCGTCGGCACGGTGTTTTAACACAATTTGTGGTGCCTGATGCTGATTTTACTCAGTCAATACCGTTTGTTTTTCTTTATTTCCCATAAGAATGTGTTTCAGACGTCCAGTTTTACAACTTTAAATGACAGCTAGAGGTTCCTTTGGCATACTTCATAGTAAAAAATAACAAAACACGCAAGGAGTGTGGACTCTTAGCTACACATGAACCTATTTTACCCTAGTTTTACTCTTGGCTCTCGGCCCAGGCCCTGTTCTGTCTGGGGCCGAACGAAGCCTAAATTATACCTAGGGGTGTATAGGAGCGCGTTACATGCGTTGGAAGGCTTGAATGGACTTTCAACACCCATATCTGCACCATTACCATTAGCAGTATCAAACCGCATCCCTGCACTTATTCCCTAGGCTATGTTTTCGTGCTGTTGTCATGTCTCCTGTTCTATAATCACTGTATGTTTGTCTGAGTCACAAATGGCCATTGAATTTGAGCAAAGTAATAGAAATACCCTAAAAACTTAAGTGCATTGCGTACACCAGTGCCTATCGCGCACCAGTCCAGTTCACCGTCATTTAGCCAAGAGCTCTTCATTTAGAGCCTGTGACGCTTGAAACAGCTGAGCGGCAACAGACGCGAAGCGTGTACAGCACATGAGTAAAAAAATATGATTATGTATGAAAACAATAGTGAAAGGTATTTTATTAGCTCAGTTAGCGCGGCGGAGACGGACCGTCATAAAAGTCGGTCTCGTCATTGGTCTCATCGGCAAGTGCGCCGAGCAGGGCCCGAACGAGAGCTAGCTACAGCCAGGGTTGTATACGACTCAGTCAATAGCAATCAATTCAATCACGACAAATTTGGGAAACCAATCAAATCAATCAAGTCAGAGCAGTTTTCGGGAATTGATTCAATCGACTCAAACGCGACAATGAAAGGAATCAATCAACTCAATCAAACGACTCAAACCAAGACATGCATTAGGTTTTTTGCCCACCAACTTGGAAAAGTGTCCATAGCAGTCTGGTGTACCTACCTACCTACCTACCTACCTACAGAAGAAACATAAAAATATTGTCATTTAAAATTATAGATTGCCATGCCATTCAAAGTTTCTATGTAATAAGGAAGGATACCTAGTGATGGACAGGTGGATCATGATATTGAGGTTCAATGGGTAGAATTGGAGCAGAAGTTTCATTTAATGGGTGCAAAATAACCCAGTAGTTGACTTGCCCCTTAACCCAAATCACCACCTTTCACCTAAAAGTTGTCAATTTAATTTTGGCCATATTCCAACTCCATTTACACTAAATATCAGATATTGCAGTTGAAAGTTGGCTGCTCGGATTTTGGCAGTGTTCGTGATTTGGCCATTTACCCTACACCATGTCTATTTTAATGGATAATATGCATCAATAACATATTAACCATAGGGAAATAGAAATAAATATCTTACCTGCATGTGACGGTTTCGGTTAGACAGAGACTGACGGGCAGCCTGAAAAATCTTTCCACACAATGTGCATTTGAGACTTGGGATGTTGTCAGATTGGGAAGGAAGAGATTTGAAGTATTTAGCGGTCCACGACTCTGGACGTGGCATGTCAATGTTAGGTACCTATGTGAAGAATTCAAAACATTTGTGTTTGAATTTTATTGCAATACAATTTGAAACTGTTAGGACTGGGGGATAGGGATGAGGGTTAAAAAATATATTTAAAAGGAAATGGAGAGAACAGGAACTCTGGAACCACAGTATAAGTTAAGGACAAAGGAAGTGGGAACGAGGAAAATTAAAACGCGAAAACGGGGATGACGGTGAAAACAGGGCGCCTTGGGCGATTTGACCAAGGTTGGTGAAATTTACACGTGACGTTTAGCATGTAGAAGACCCACGAAGGGGGAGCACTTCCAAATGTCACGTGACTAATATGCCCTCCGGCGCCCTGTTTTCACCGGCGTCCGAAAACGGCACGGTGCGACTGAATGAAAACGTTTTGCCAATAAGTATGCTAAGCTTTTATAAATCCTTATTCTACGTCTTTTGATTTTTTGGTAAGATGACGTCATTGATTATCATGTAGTATGGTAGATCATCATAGCAGCAAATTAGCTATTAATTAGGCACGTAAACGTAAATAGCGAGACGAAAACGGCGCTTTTGTTTCAGTTATTTTTGTAGGGGTTTCAGATATTTATAGAGTTCAGTGGGTTGTTTCTGAGGAGATGTGGAGATGTGAATTATTAATTAATCACACTTTATTAGTATATAGGGCCTTGCACTTTATCATCTGGATTAGAAAAAACGTTTCCTGCTGAGTGCAGAAAGGTAGGTAGGTGCATCGCCAGGTTCTATCACCAGGATTGGTGCAGTTATTGCAGTTGAAAGTCAAAGTTGGCTGTTCATGTTTAGGCCCTGTTCTGTATTTGGCCATCTACCCCATATTGCAGTTGTGATGACAAGCAGTTTTCAGTGTAGTTTTGTGATCTTTGATGTCATCAATTGGTGTCATTATTTTGCGTCAACTAAAAGTTATTTGAACTCTCCTTTCAATCGACTCAATCATACGAGTCACTCTAATTTTCAGGAATCAAATCAGTCAACCAGTCGCTAAAGTCAAACGAGTCAGTCAACCAGTCATCTCGAAAAGTCAATCGACTCAATCCAATCAACTCAAAATACGCGTTGAAACAAATCAATCAATTCAATCGACTTGATTGGTATACAACCCTGGCTACAGCAGGGGTCATATAACAGAATAGTTGACAAGGCAATATGTGCCGGTGACCGGGCTCTTGCATGTGTTCCTGTGTTAAAACATACCGCAGACTCACAAGTCCTGGCTGACTGTAGCCGTCTCTCGCATGCGGCAGTTCAGTTTCGTAGTGTGCCTATTCCACATAGACGCGCCTGTTCGGGTACAAATATGTGCGGGGAGGAGTAGGTATTGCGGACTGGGATGATAAGCCGATGCACAGAGATGCTGAAAGAGCACGTCACATATCGGTGCCTGGCTGGTCCGGTAAGTCTCACTCGCGAGAGACGCCATGCATCTGAGGCCTCACGTGCATGGTACCTGTCGTTGGCAGGCCCGGTTACTTCTGGTGCCGTTGTCAATGTATTGTGCGGACTCAGCTAGAGCACGATATGACCGAAGCAGCAGCATGTGGGGGGGGGGGGGGGGGGGGAGAGTCACTCTTCGTTTTTTATCTTCCTTCCTAGTGGCTGACGTGAAAACTCGATTAGCATTGAGGGTATGGGCGGTACGCGGATGAGGATTGGTATGAAGATGATCAGCGGGGACATCCGCAGCGCAGGGCATCACTCGCTGGCCGCACGCCGGGTCTCGAGGGGATCGGTGACGGCACTGTCGCCGCCGTTGGTCGCGGCGACACAGGTGGCGGGAAAGTCACGGGACCTGCACCATAGTGCGGTGAATGGTTGGGCCTTCGCCGGCAGTAACTGTTTATTTGGGATGCGAGCTGTATATGTAATACTACCAGAGCAAGATTTTCACCGTCACTTCGCCGTGCGGCAAGAGATGAGCTCACGGCAGCCCGGTATGATATGCTGAGTTGTGATAAGTTCTACCCCTAGTCCCCGACAGTGACCACCTTTGGGGCACTGAGGGACCGCTTGACGCGGCCACTCGTCGGTTTGGGTTGCACCTACGCACCTACTAACTTTAACAGCAGACATTCGGAGACTGCTAAGTGGGTTTGTTTTGTTTTGCTTGGTTAGAGCCACTCAGTCTATTCGAGAACATTTTAGGGCCGTTGTATGATGAATGAATGAATAAGAGGGGAGAGAGCAATATCAGAATAAGTCGACCATCGGGCACCGGCTGTGTGCCGCAGCGTCTCAGTCAAAAGACACCATAATGGCTGCAATGCTCCGAGAGTCATGCTATGCTGGGATGATAAAACACGAAAGGGGGACAATGTATGAAAGGGGCAATGTAAAGTTCAGTCAGCCACTTACGACTAGTGCGCTATAGCGCTGGGACGGCATATCAGCGCCGGGACATATTGTTTTGATGGCAAGTCGCAACGGGACAGAGCACACATTCGTTGAAATGGTCACTCCGAAGCTGACTTCCACCGGTTGTCTGCTAGGCGGACCGTTACCGTTAGTCCGGAACACGGAGAAGTGCAAGCAAGGATGATAATGAGTTAGTCGTGAGAATAAAGAGGACGGATGGCAAAGTGGCTGACCGGTTACCAGTTACTGACCACCTGACCAGTATCTACTGTGACAGTTGGTCGCTGGTAACACAATAATACCGGTTATATGCAGTCATAAAAGTACGAGGCGTTAAGAGCCCAGTTGCAAATAGTTGCCTAATCTACTACTCATTTGTTCCTGTTTCAGGGCTCAGGGCGCTATGCATGTAATGTATTTTGTGTAATGTGTGTTTATGTGTGGAAAGCTATGCGTTTAAAAACACTTGCAATGGAAAAACAGCAATATATCAAACCCAGTGGTGTAAGAAAATGTGCATAATTTAGTCCCAATTGCTTTTTTACGCTTACAAGTGTCTAAAATTAAGTTAGAGACAGTCTTGAATCACTGCCATCTAGCGTCAAAAGGGTGAACTAAAGCTTCATCCTACGACCGCAGCGGTTGGAAACGGGTTTACAAAAACCGTTCCGGGTCAGTTAATTTTGAGTTTTGAGGAAAATGTTGCGCCTAGATATTATTTTTATGTCCTTGCGCCAAAACATATGCCAGTTTCCTTGCAAATCTCGGTAAAAACCCTTCCCGTCTCCGCCGCCAATTTAGACGCTCGCAAGTTTTCGACCGCACCTGGCACGACGGCCTCTTGTTCCGGCTGCTGAATTAGGTATCTACGCACAAACTGCTGGCAAACCATTGTCAACTGGTATATCAGCTGTCGGCCAGAGTGATTTTTGGTGGAATCAAGACGTTCACGCCGTTCAAAATTTGTAGAGGCACAAGGCAGGGTGCACTTTTAGCGCCGACTCTGGCCAGTGTCTTTCTCTTTCCTCTCGTTGAAGCCCTTGACGACAGCGGCCGCCGGGCCGATCTGCATGGCCAGCATGTGCCTGCCGTGCCGTCTGCCGCGCCGACGATCTCCTGCTGCTGTCTACCAACGCGCGTGACCTGGATAGTCGATTACAGTTAGTGGCAGATGTCACCGCCCGTTGGCGTCTCCACTTTACTATTTCAAACAGCCTGCGGTTACCCATCACAACCCAGACAGAACTTAGTCACTGAATCATACTCGGCAGCCACACCAGTGTGAACTCCATCAGGACAGGGCAAGTCCGGCAGACCCCAACCCAGCCAGTTCACTTCCCGCAATGCAAAACGACAGGGCTACCCACTGAACACCTTGCTGTAGTGCTTGACGAGAAGTTGCGCGCGGAGCACCACGTGGCTCGGCGCGTCAGGCGCGCTGGCGCAGCGTTAACGGCCTCACCTCAGTCGGACCAGACCAGCCGCCCGACCACCGCCGACAAGGTCTTCCTTTGGAGGTCGATCGTGTCTCCAGCACTCGTGTTCGGATGTGACACGGTCAACGGCCCCCTCAGTCCATCGGAATTGACCGTTTGGACCCACGGTTGACGGTGGGGAGCATTATTTATTAAAGAAGCGCTTGGTCTAACCCGATCATCGCACCACACTGCCCTTCTGCGCGCCATCGGAACGCATCCGATCGCGGAAGGGCCTCGCCCTCGCCGCACTGCTTTCTTGGCATTTACAAGCATTTCCTGCTCGGATCAACGTCTTGCCCGTATCTCAGGTCTAGCTGAATTGGTTGTGCGCCCAACGATCTCATTCCTGGCCCAGCTTTTCGCTATGTGCGGGGCGTCTTCGGACTTAGAGGATTGCCGCAGCAGAGCTGAATGATGACATGGTGACGGCCCCACCCGAGGAGGATGGCCTTTATGGACAGCATTAGGCAAGAGCTGGTGGAAACCGCTAAGTCTCAAAGCGTCTATCAGGACTTCTTGTTTGTTGATAGTGGGTATGCGAATGTAAATGGTTGCTTGTCGATGCTTAACACATTGACTGATTAATTGGTAGGGTTTGTTGCGACTCCCTAGCTCGACCCAAAACATCACAAGGCATACCGCTGGCGCTTTACAACAACCAAAATTATATCATTAAATGCTACGAACAGCATAGTATCGAAATTGAGCTAGAGACTCACAAAATACCCCGTGTAACCTGCCATCAGTTTGCGCAGTTAGGCATGATAGAAGAGAATAACAGCATCACACCTATGACCCAAACAAGCCAGGCGAATATGGGAAAAAGCATGGTTTTCGGGTGGAGAAATAGCGATGGTTACGGAACCCCGCAAAATATTTCACATAAAAAATAATTTTGCAATTGGATGATAACAAACGCACCAAACATGAGCTTACCCATTACATGCTTGATGCCTCTGAAGTCACTTAGAGTCGGATTTTTACATGCATTTGACGTCATTGGAGAGAAATGTGTTTTATTGCTTCGGAAATGACGACTTTTCTTACCGTTTAGCAGCGGTACTGGCGTCGCACAGCGCGAAGGAACGATCCCCAGGTGTCTTCCTGGTGCCTTTCCATCCACATGAACTCGTCTAGGTACCCAGGGAGGCTTTCCGGCAGACCGACATTTCGTTTCCTCAGGTACTTTTTCAGATGGCTAAAATAGCCCTTGATATGGTTTTTGGCCTTCATATGGCTGATGGGCGTACCGTCATTGGCGGCCGGCTCGTGTGAACGATTCACAGTCTTGTGATCGTATCCTCTGTTAGCAAGACAGGCGTACGTCCTCAGCTCATCTGTATAGATTGTGGATCCTTGCTCCACATGGTCCTGCACTTTTGGGATGATGGCCTCATGAGAACGGTCTTCGATGTATACTAGCACCCCCTTTTTCTCCTCAACATCATAGATTCCGAGAATCCAAATGGTTTCGTGGACGTCTTGGCTTCCCTTGCGGCGTTCGCGTCTCGCGAAAGCTGTCTGGTCGACCACCACCACTTTGCCCACGCCCCCTAACTTGTCTTTATCACGCAGCAGGTCGTGCGACAGGACATCTCGGCAAAACTGCAGCCAGTCTGTCAGGTTCTGGTGGGCGGGTGCGTTCTTCACGCAGGCTCTGATGGCTTTGTAGTTGAGTTTGAGCACAAGATAAGAGTAGGCCACCTTCAATATGACGAGAGGGTTCAGCCTGGACCTCTCGAAGAAGCTACCGACCAGTGGTAGCCGCGTCTTTCTACAAAGTGAGCATCGCCACGTTTTCCCAAACCGACGGTTCCTACCATAGGGGCACTCCTTCATCATCCTGTTGCAGCATCTTGGACCTCTTTTCTTCAGCAGACCATTCTCCCTCAGGAACTGGAGGATACCGTCACTACCATGAATGTTGTTGAAGAGGATGACCATGTCCTCGTACGTCTCGATTTCGTCGATCTCCATCTTTGTAGCTGTCCAGATCCACAGCCCCGTGAGGTGGGCGCTCCTGAAATAGAAAAATTATCTGTTCCGAAACCCCTGTGTGAATCACGCGGCCAGGTGGCAGATGGGGAACATTCGTGACGCTAATAACTTTGTTTTGTATTGTTATGATTGACATGACCGCTCTTATCCTTGAAATGACGTTATTTCAAAGCATGGCTGCGGAGTTGGAGTCAGAGTTGGAGTCGGTCGGAGTCGACAGCTCTGCCCGGAGTCGGAGTCGCGAAAATATTACACACTCCGATGACTCCGACTCCGGAATCGGAAGTTAATGCTGCATGGCTCAACGTCATGCACTGCACCTGTTTGATTGACGATACTGTGCTCGAATATTTTGTCGAAAAAAAGACCATTTTGCTGTTTTGGACGAACGTTTTCAGCGAAAGAAGCAGAAGACGGTGAATTCCCCAGAACCTGCTTTTTTATTCTGCATGTTATTATTAATGCATATTTGCAACGCAAAGCCTTGGAACGCACAAGGGATCGTTTCGGGGAAGATAAAAACATCTCCATTATGAGCTTGAATATCACGATATGGATTTTAATCGGTAGAACCGTCCGGAGTCGGAGTCGGAGTCAGAGTTGGAGCCGGAGGGTGGAGTCAGAGTCAGAGTCACCCTAAAATCCACTGACTCTATAGCCCTGTTTTTAAGTGTACATAGCTCACTGTCCTTGTTTATAAAAAGATGTGTTCATCCACATACACCACATGATACCCATGGTACGTCTGATTTTTACAAACATGTGATGTCATTGAAGCTTTTGTAACTTTTGGTGTTAAAAAGGAAAAAGAAAAAGCACAGGCATTTTGTGGGAGCTATTTCAGGCAATGGCAAAACAACTAAAATCCTAGGGATCACCCAGCAAATTTTAATGGTAAGAAGAAATCATGGGTTAGGTTAGGTTTGCAGCCAATTATGTCTCTTGTATCTGGCCATAGATGCAATAGTGGACTCCCTGAACTCTAAAGAAATGGACCATATATTCAAGGCAAGCATTGGCAATGAATAATGGCTGCCTGAGAGGTGTCCTTACTCTTAGCATCAGGTTTACCAGTGTTTGAGAGTGATATGTTGCAGGTAACTGGCAGGAGATGCTAGATAGTGCACTGTGGCATGTTGTGACTCCTTTTATTAATTAGCTTCTTACGGCCACAATCAAAATACTAGGTCACTTTCATGTCTACCATCCTCTTTGCCACTGGTGCAGCAAGGTAATGAGCAGAGAGCATGGGATGCTAGCTGGATATCTATGACGTGTTCTCAACTCTCAATAGATAGACAGGCTTCAGGATTGGAAACCTTATCAGAAATTAAATGTTACCTCACCATGCAGTGATGTATCACAATTGAATATCTGACAGTTGTTACTGACCACATGCCACAGAAGCACACTGCAAATGATTACAATTAAGCAGGCACAGAGAGCAAATGAAATTCTCACTGGAGCCTGGAGGAATAGCAGAAATTTTAATACCTTTATGTGTAGATAAAGTATGGTTGGTAAGCTGGTAGGATTTAGGTTGGTAGATTATGGGTTTCATGTAGGTTTCTTGTAGGTCTGTAGGTCGTAGGTTAGTATGTTCAGAGTTGTAGCTCAGTAGGTAAGGTTAGGTCAGGTTAGGCACAACTACTGGATGCATTTGCTTTATATTTTTGTAGCATAGCTGTATTTCTTCTACCAAGCATTGGACTATTCCTGATAATGATAAGTGTGCCGTGTGGGCTGTGGCCAGTGGCCAGTGGGGGACCCCTTGTGCACGTGTCCGGTGTCACATACAAAATAAAGGGGCGTTACTTTAGCAACCATTGCAATAGGCAATTAGTGAGCAGGTTCTGAGCAGCAGTCTCATTCAGAGCATCAGAACATATAGCTGACACCAGTGGCGCAGCCAGGGGGGGTGAAAGGGGTGAGATCTCACCCCCGTCTCTTATCCTAGGGGCCCACCGTCGATTCGAACTGTAACGTTATGCAGCCTGACAATTTTTATCACTAATGTCAAGGTCCGTCATAGGACTTAAAAACAGTTTTCAGGCCTGATATCCCCCCTTTAGGATTTATAGTCCCATTTTATTATTTAAGGGGGTACATCCAAGGCCCGATTGAACTAATCCAAGGCCTAGGAGGGCCCGTTCCATGGCATGAGAGGGCCATTTCAGGCCTGAGAGGGCCCATTTAAGGTCTGTGAAGGCCCATTTCAGGTCTGAAGGGGCCCAGTTGAAGCTTGAGAGGGCCCATTCCAGGCCCTAGAGGGCCTGTTTGAGGCTTGAGAGGGGCCCATTTCAGGCCTGAGAGGGCCCATTTGATGCCTGTGAGGGCCCATTTCAGGCCTGAAGGGGTCCATTTCAGGCCCTAGAGGGCATGTTTGAGGCCTGATAGGGCCCATTTCAGGCCTGAGAGGGGCCCATTTCAGGCCTGAGGGGCCCATTTCAAGCTTGAGAGGGCCCATTTCATACCCTAAAGGGCCTGTTTGAGGCCAGAGAGGGCCCGTTTGAGGCCAGAGAGGGCCCGTTTGAGGCCAGAGAGGGCCCGTTTGAGGCCTGAGAGGGGCCCATTTCAGGCATAAGAGGCACCATTTCAGACCTGAGAGGGCCCAGTTACGGTATGAGGGGGACCTTTTTCGACATGATAGGGGCCATTTCCGGGCTGAGGGGGCCCATTTCAGGTCTGAGAGGGCTAATGTCAGGCCTGAGAGGGCCCATTTCAGGCCATAGAGGACCTATTTAAGGCCTGAGTGGGTCCACTTCAGGCCTGAGAGGGGCCCATTTCAGGTCTGAGAGGGCCCAGTTCAGGCCTGAGAAGACTCATCCCAGGAATGAAAGGATCATCCTATGTGTAGGAGGGTCCATACTCCGTGCCTGGTCTGGGTCTGAGAGGGCCTATCCCAATCCTGATTGAGCCGATATCATGTTTGATATAGGTCAACTCACCACATATATATTGATGGCCCAGTTCATGTCTAATGGGCCCATTTCAAGACTCAGAGACTTTATGCTTCAGGAAGCCTACCCCAAGCGTGAGGGGGCCCATAGAGGTTTTTGAGGCTTATGGAGGTCCCGCAGTACGATATGTCAGCCTTTGAGAAAGCCATGCAGGGCCCTTAAGATGCCAAGCCGACATCTGAAAATTCCTCTTCTCTTCAGGCCTGTGCCTGCCTCACCGCCCGGCCCCACCCTGACGTCTAGGAGTTTGACGCCTACTTAGGTATTCATCAGGACTCCACACCGGTCCATGATGGCTCCAAACTGACACCTGAGGCTCCTGCACCGGCTTTTGAGGGACCCACCGACCTCTGATAGCCACCACGCAGGTCTCAAAAGACCATGTCAATTGTTGATATCTAAACCCCAAGTCTTGGAAGGCCTGTGCTCTATGCAGATTCTTGAGGGCTTTACGTGGGCTTGTAAACATCCCGAACTGGCTCTAGCCTAGCTCGACCGCGCCCCGCAGAGCAGGGCCCCAGGCTTTCCAGTTTTACGCCCCTAAGGGGTGTTTGAATAGTCCCTTCTAAGCTGGGGTTTGACGACTAGGGTCACGTAGCGACAAGTGTGGCGGTAGGCGGCTTTCTAAAGAGCGTCGAAAATCATGGAGAAATTACTTCAGTCATGTTGCAGTTCAGACAAAAGCCCACGTCATCATGTTCATCGAAGGAAAAGTTTCGCCTAGTTCGACACTCGAGGACATATAAAGCTATAGCGCGCTGAAAGTGGGTTCGATAGCTCTCCAACGCGTGCAATCAGCCATGGGGGGGGGGGAAACCCGATCATAATTTAAGAAGGCTAGAAAGACGAGAAAAACAACAGATAGCTGTAGGATGCTTCAGAATCGTAGAGGTCATTTTTCGACTAGGTCATCGCTGAGATCATTGAAGATGAAATTATGATAAATTTATGATAAACACAATGACAAAATTACGACGAAAAAAAATTCTTGTTTTTATATTTTCACAAATAACCGTATAACTCGTGAACCAAAGAGCTAGAGCTTCGCGGAACAATTCATTCGATAGGCCTTTCAAAACGCTTTCGCTTTTAAGATTTGACCTCAATGCCTCATGTCAATGGTTTGGCTGCAGAGCAGAGGGCAAAACCATATAAATAGTCGCATTTTACCAAAATAGTTTTGCTAAGAATTTTTGCAAGAACTTTCGTGAGAACAATTATGAGACATTTACTTTGTCATCATTCTCTCGTTAACATGCATCGAATGTTAACACCTATAATTTCACATAAAAAGTTCAACTTCAAAATGTGACCGCAGATCAAGGTCATGCCCTTACTTGAGAAGTTCATGGTGGTCATCAACTGGTCCGTATGGATGATTAACACCTTCAAGACAATTTCATTACTCTACCTCGTCTCCTTTATCAAAAGTAATAGTCGGAAAACTGAAGTTGAGCTTTTTTAGAAGCTTTTCGACCTAGCCCGGCCATTTGAGTGGCCGCTGGCCATCAATTGCACGCTGGCCATCACATATGGGCAGAATGGTCGTGTTTCTGTAAATATGCTGTTGTTTTTTACGTGCCTCTTCAGATCAAGAGATATTTGTCCTTTTCCCCGATTTAGCTGGTAATGATCAGAACAATGATCTGACCTTTCGTTGTTGGTAATTGGGGCCCCCATTAGGTTGAGGGGGGCCCACTTTGCTGGGGGGCCCATCGCGAACGTCTCTCACCCCCGTCGCCAGAGTTCTGGCTGCGCCACTGGCTGACACTAAGTGACTAGGTTATCGCTGGAGCTAACAAATAACTAAATGCACTTACTTCTATTGACGTTTCGGTTTCAAACAACCTTCGTCAGAATAGAATTACAAGTTAAAATATAAATATACGCCTCAAATGCACATCTTTCAAGCACTGTTTGAAACACTGTTTCAAATACTGTTTGAAATATGTGCACTTGAGACGTATATTTATATTTTAACTTGTAATTCTATTATGACGAAGGTTATTTGAAACCGAAACATCAATAAAAGTAAGTGCATTTAGTTATTTGTTGGCTCCACCGATAACCTCATAACACAAATATGTCCTTAAATAATCAACTAAGTGACTAGCTATAAAGGGTGAAACAAACTATCCACATTCAGAAAATTGAATCAGAATGTGAGCCTTTTCAAATTAAACATTATAATCCTGCCCGCATCAATCAAGTGCGGGACTGGGAGGTGTCAGGTCAAGGTGCGTGGGATTGATGCAAGCATGCTTCCATGAAAGTATTTGAACAGGCTCTCACAGTCACATGTGATTTCCTGACTACGGAGTCTGTTTCAGGCTTAAACGTGTAAGCAAAAATTGAAATAGATGTACCTACCTAACTTGTCGAAACATATATGTTATGGTGTTCATAACATTAAAACTGACAATTACAGACCAAAGTCACTTACCTTCACAAGGTATGTTGAATTTTAAAATTTCTGTTTAAAAGAGTTCAGTGGTTTAAAACCACGAACTGCCCATCCAACGCAAAACAAAACACTGACTCTCAAACCACGTGCTGGTGGTCATGTAACTCGCCCACTGAACCTGCAATGAACTCGCTGAACCATGCTGAACCAAGGCCATCTATCGCTGAACCGTTCATAACTGCCGCAGATATCAAATGACACAAAATCATGAATAATTGTCCTTTCAAGTATCCGGAAAAAAATCATGCTATTAAAGTTTGTGCGCCAGACTTGAAACGACATCACGTGATTGACGTACGTCAAATCAGCAGTGTGAAATATTCGTCTAAGGCCTAAAAACAATAATAAAAAAGTTATCAAAAAAACATTATAGAGTTCAGCAGGGGCGGGGGCCGGGGGAACTACTTTCATACTGGGAGGGGCACACCATAATAGAGATCAATGGGTACCCCCAAATCTTGTTTTCTCACCGGTTTTAGGCCACTTATTTTTCATCCCTTGGCTTTTTCAACAAAAAAAAAAAAAAACATTTGCCAAAAAGTGCGGTATTCCGTCTCAAAGTTGTGTTGTGGGGGCACCGCCCCCACGGACCCAGAGTTGCGGGCGGCAAGCTGCCCCCACTGCCCCCCCCCCCCTCCCGGTTCTTGCGCCTATGAAATTTAGTGGAAAACTTCGCCGAACCAAACAGATTACAGAAAGAGGCGGTACGCTCTAGAGCCGGAGGTTTTCGTCTGATCTCTTTCAAAATGGTATGATTTGAATTTTGATTTCACATCCAAAGTTCCAACATTGTCCTATCTAAGGGCTAAAAGAGGGACCGCGGATTCCGGGGGGCAGGGTGTGCAATTGCACACCCGGAAAATCCCGAGGGTGTGCACAAGGGCGCACACAAGGGGGGCACACGGGCCCGTGCCCCCCCCCCCATTCGAGTTGGGGAGCCCAACTCGAAGGTTACCAATTTACTCGATTTCACAACGCATTTCTTGAAATGCCTGTGAACGTTGAAAATCTGACCTTTGACCTGACCTGTGACGTCATCAGTTTGACCTAGGTCAATGAAATTTGGTCACAAGGTAGTTCCCCGACGGGGCTATCAAATGCCGTTTGTATTTTGAAAATCGGCCGGTAAATTTCCGAATTCTTAGAGGGGGGCCGAAATGTCCCCCCCCCCCTACGGGTGGTAGGGTCCGCCGATAGCCCTACGGGGCGCGGGTTAAGCCGCAATAGGCTGATATCCTTAACCCTCGCCGGCACAGGCCATTTTGAGTCCTTCGACGGCACAAGGGGGAGGGGTGGTACGACCCCCCCCCCCTCGCGTTTGGCCCCTGATGGAGTTAGAGCTTAAAACAAGCGTGCTGCTCGTCACGAGAGGAAGCCAATGATACCACGGTCTTGATGATACCCAATTTTAAGGTCCTAGGTCATCGGTTGACCCTCCAGGTCAGGTCAATTACCCAAAAAATCGGGAATAGCGGGATCTGTTAGAAAGGCTTAAAGTGTGGCTGCCAAAGGGTTTTCCGGGGTGCTGATCACGAATATCGTGTTAGTTTTGATCACAGATAATGTCTTTAACCCGCAAGTTGCTGGGGGGGGCGTTAAACGCCCCCACTTTTTTCGCCGGGCCATAGCATAAAAACGGCGCGCCGCAGGCGCGCCAAATTTTGGGTACCTGTAGGGAATTGATTGAAGTTTATTGTGACAAAGTTTCAAAAAAATCGGTTGGAAAATTTTTGAGATATCGAGGTTTTAGTGACGTCATGATTTCTGAGTTTTCGACCAAAAACGGCATATGTTCAAAAAATCATATAAAATCACAGAATAGACATACAGACATGCCGTAAACGCCATTAGACTGCCAATACCATGATCAATCAAATGGCTATCTTCGATTATTGATTATCGTTCCGCATTTTCCATAATCTTGAACTGAATCTTGGCAATTTTTCGTGACTACTTCACGACCATGATACATGCATTTCTTAAATTGAACTTTTTGAGCCAAACACGTACACATATGATAAAATGAATGTCACCATCGTGTTCTACGCCCCAAATTACCTATACCTAAAACATGTGTCACAGGCTGCGAATATCAGTTTTGATTTTCGGGGATATGTGCCTACCCGGTTGACCTGACCTTGACCCTGACCTATGCTTGACCGACCCCGACATGGAGCTGACACTCTTGTAGGCCTTATATGATGGATTGTGCACCATTTGGACAGAGTTTATGACGAGAGGCGCCCATTGCGAAGTCCTGAAGTCCATGCTACTGAAAGCCCGTTTCAGGTGTTTGACCTGACCTTGACCCGACCTGTGACCTCAAAATTCAACTTTAAAGTACTCATCTGAAGCGTCTCGTCGCGCTCTTTCGTTTGCCGCCTCGTGCGTTTCGCTGCGCCTATTGGTTCTCGAGTTATCGGCTGGGGGCGTTTAACGCCCCCCCCCCCCAGCAAACGGTGGGTGGCGAAATACCCCAGCAACTGCCGGGTTAAACATTAACCCGCGCGGGGCTGGGGGGTAAATTTTACCTCCCCTCGCGAATTTTTGCAATATCTCAAAAACAGCCGCGCGCAGCGCCGCCAAACTTTCAGTACCTTTTCTTACATCAATTTGACACGTTCTCTGAAAAATCGAGCGAAATCCGTCGGAAAAGTTTTGAGAAATTGACGTTTTAGTGACGTCATGTTCGCCATTTTCGCCTCAAAAACGGCAAAATTTCAAACGCCGCTAACATCTTCATTTTAAAGGAATCAAGACGTAACAAAAGGCTTATACGTAATTCTACTTTGTCTATCAAATGGCTATCTCGATTTTTTGAAAACTTTGGATTTTCGCCCAATTTTTTTCTTCAAACACTGACTTTTTTGGGAAAATAATTACAAAATCTCAAATTTTGAGTATATCGAAAAAACCGGAATATATGTCAGAGAAGTGGTCTATGTGCACCTACATGCCAATTTTTAGAAGAATCGGTTCAAAAATGTGGGAGTTATTAAAAAATTTATGACGTCACGACACACAAAAATTTTGAAAAATGATTTTTTTGGAAGTTCTAGACCTCGTACGGAAACCAAAATAGCACCATTCGATTCGCCGTGAAAAACTGCATCAGATAGACACCTTTTTAGGCCTTAACAACCAACTTCAAAATTTGACCTCACTTGACCTGACCTTGACCTGACCTCGACCTGAAATTCATCCAGAGGTGGTCCATATCACTTATTGAGTGTGCCTATTGAATTCTATGAGTAAAATGACCCATAAAACATGTGTCGCACATGCCCTTTTCTATATTTTGTTTTTGGTGACCTGACCTGACCTGACCTGACCTTGACCTTGACATCTGAATGATAATGTATGCAACAAATATTGTCTTGGTAGCCTAAGAACACGTTTTGGGCAATCAGTCTCAGTCCATGACTCCATTCTTCGGCAACTACGGTGCAAGGCCGATACTGTAGGAACTTGCAATTTGTACCCTTGACCTGACCTTGACCTTGACCTCAAACTTTAAATTAAGTACATGTTTTCAGTTGTTCGTGATGAGATCTTTCGATTGGCGTTTGAATTTTCCAAATCGGGCCATTAGTTCGGGAGATAACAGGGGGGGGGGGGTAAATTTACCCCCCCCCCCCCCCAGCCCCGCGCGTTCGGCTGGAGACCTCAGCCCCGCGCGGGTTAAGACAAGGTCGGGTCGGGTCAGGTCAGGTCAACCGGTAGGGGTCGTCACGGGTAGGTATTCGTAGGGGAGTATCATTGGCTTCCTCTCGTGACGGGCAACACGCTCGTTTTTCCGCGAAGCTCTAGCTCCACCAGGGGCCAAACGCGAAGGAGGGGGGGTCGTACCCTCCCCCCCCCCCCTTGTGCCGTCGAAGGACTCAAAATGGCCTGTGCCGGCGAGGGTTAAATTCCGTACGGACCGCAAGCGCTCCACATAGTGGACGGCGGCCTTTAGAATTGCCGGCCGTTGGGTCTCGGAGCTGGCATTCGGCCTTCATGGGGCCCCAAAGCTCGTTCTCGGCTTCCGTTCAGTTAAAAACCTGGCGTAGTTTTTTACCAGAATATCACATTCTCGATGCATGCACATGTAGATGACGTTGTTCGACGTTTTCGTTGTCTCGTTGGTACGGTACTGCATCAGTGTGTACGGTGTATGTGGTAGCACACAAATGGTACGGCTGCAGAAACTGCTGAATTATGGTGCGGGCGTGTTATTTCGGGCCGTCGCAAGTACGATCATATCAGTGACGTGCTGAAAGACCTGGAGTGGCTGACAACGAAGAATCTGCATCAGCACTGTTGCATTCTCTGTCGCTGCCGCCGACACAACTGCTCCGGTTCGTGCCTGTATTCCGCGCCCCGGTCCGACACCGACTGCCAGCACTCGCTCAGCCCGACCCAGACACTCCCTCGGCCCTGACCTGCCCCGCGGGCACACACTGGGCCGGGCCGGTGCACGGCGGCACAGCCTACCAGCAGCCGGTCCGCGGAACGGGTCCAAAACATAACAAATACCATTCGCTGACCCTGTTCAAGCGAATTTTAGCCAATGGCCAGCCTGAGACATTGTACGATAGTCTGGTGACTCGGGGCGATGTACAGCCCACCGCTAAAGTAATGTAGGGTTTTACCCATCTCAACGGTTGGCTTTGACTGGCGATTGTTTAATGCGGAGTGATCGAAAAGAAGATGCCAATAGCTAAAATTGCAGCTGCAAGGGTGACGATACATATAAGCTACATTCAAAGTTTCATTGTAGTCTGGTTAATCGTTCCTAAGCTTCAGAAGCAGAACATACCCATGACTGAAACCGCACATTACTTCTGCTGTGGACTGTACATACACGGCCGTGTAAACAGTCAGGCGGACCAGCTAGATAGGCCCACGACAACACGGCGGTGAATAGGTGTCGGATTGTATGTAGTTATGTGCATGAGCGTCTGTTCCCAGTTCCCATCGATTATTATTGACGCGCGAATCATAATAGCCATGTGTTCATGGAGGATTGCAAGATGTTAATACATACATCATACAAAGCCAGTGGGGCGTAGAGAAATGGCCGTAGAGAAATGGGGCAGCTAAGTGGGCCGGAGGCCAGGCCCCCATAGGTCATAGGGGCCAAATCGATGGGCCCAAATGTCCCGTCGGTTGTGTTTTCATTTTTAAACTAATCTATATAATCCATGATAAAAAGAAGTGTGCCAACTGCCAACATAAACTGTG